TTTTACTGCAATGAAATGTAGGATCAATTACCTACAACTGTCAAATTCAAGGGAATATTTTTTTTCAACCTATTTTCGTATGCAACCGGATGTGACGTACTATGATTTGGTGGTATTACACCTAAAGGGAGAACAATTTGATTTTCTGGGGGCCAGGAGGATTTTTTTGTGGATGGAATATTCATTGTCACCTGTTACTAATATAACTTACTTAAACAAGTTGTTTTATTATACTTCATGTCAAAATGCCAGATTTTGATTGGTTAATACAAGGGAGACAATTTACTTTATTATACTTCATGTCAAAATGCCAGATTTTGTTTGGTTAATACGAGGGAGACAATTTACTCTATCCCATGGCAAATACTCTAATACCCTTCACGGAGACGCTTGCTCAAGTGTGCGCTGTATTATACGGATGATTGTTATGTACAAGACGACATTGTTTATTACTTTGAATTTAAAATTTAATAGACAGTAATAACAGAACATTCAGTATAATAAATTAAATAACACATACATGTATCTGAGAGGGTGATAGAGCAGATTGTTACCCCTCGAAAAGACATTGTCAACCTTGGCTTCGCCTCAGTTGACAATGTTTTCTCGGGGTAACAATCTGCTCTATCACTCTCTCAGCTATGTGTTATTTATATATTGTTAACTATCTATATATGATATTTTTTAAGAAAAAAATATTCACTAGAGCTGTTCTAAATTTCAATAAAAACATGGACTATAATAAGTTTTATGAAATTACATTTAATATTTTATTACATAAAATTAATATCTAATTGCAATGGAGAGTAGTAGTCTATACAGATAGATTTTAAGGTTACTTTTGAAAAAATGACAAAAAAGAATTACTTCGATAATTTATTTTCTACATCAGTTACATCTTTGAAATAATTATTAATTACAATTATATATTAATCATAATGTTGATGAAACGTCCATGTATGTCATGTGTATGCAATTGTTTTGAGTTACAAATTAAAGAAATGGTTTTAAATGGTGCCAGACTTCATATATAAATCATAATGTAACCATATAATGCTAATGTGCATCTATTTGGTTTTAGTTTTCCTTACCAAAGCATGGACTTTACAAAAGGGGGGGGGGGGGGTCATTTTGTGAGCTTTGCTCACATTTCCTCTAGACTTTTCTTTAGATTATTCCCCAGGGCTCCACAACTAAATTGTACCATACCAAATAAAATATTTTTATTTAAGATCTGCATGGTATTTATGATATATATTATTGGCCTGGTTGCACATAATCCATATTTGCCTTCAAACTTTCCAGATTATTTGTACATTTATTGTGGATACATTTGTAGCTATCAAATGCCTTTAACCTTTTTATACGACCGCAAAAAAATTTTTGTGGTCGTATATTGGTATGACGTTGGCGTCGTCGTCGTCGTCGTCCGGCGTCGTCCGAAGACACATTGGTTTTCGCACTCTAACTTTAGTTTAAGTGAATGGATCTCTATGAAATTTTACCACAAGGTTCAATACCACAAAATGAAGGTTGGGATTGATTTTGGGGGTTATGGTACCAACAGTAAAGGAATTAGGGGCCAAAAAGGGGCCAAAAATAAGCATTTTTGTAACTTCCAGACATAACTTGTGTGTTAGTGTATGGATCTCTCTGACATTGTACCACAAGGTTCCATATCACAAAAGGAATGCTGGGATTGATTTTGGGGGTAATTGCCTCAAAAATTTAGGAATTAGGGGCCAAAAAAGGGGCAAAAAAGAAGCATTTTTCTAGTTTCATGACAATAACTTGTGTGTAAGTGTATGGATCTTTCTGAAATTGTACTACAAGGTTCCATATCACAAAGGGAAAGCTGTAATTGAGTTTGGGGGTAATTGCAGAAACGTTTTAGGAATTGGGGGCCAAAAAGGGGCCAAAAATAAGCATTTTTCTAGTTTCCAGACAATAACTTGTGTTCAAGTGTATGGATCTCTCTCTGAAATTGTACTGCAAGGTACCATACCACAAAGGGAAGGCTGGGATTGATGATGGGGGTAATTGCCTCAATATTTTAGGAATTAGGGGCCAAAAAGGGGCCAAAAACAAGCATTTTTCTAGTTTCAGGACAATAACTTGTGTGTAAGTGTATGGATCTTTATGAAATTGTACTACAAGGTTCCATATCACAAAGGGAAAGCTGGGTTTGAGTTTGGGGGTAATTGCCCTAAACGTTTAGGAATTTGGGGCCAAAAAGGGGCCAAAAAACACATTTTTCTAGTTTCCAGACAATAACTTGTGTTCAAATGTATGGATCTCTCTAAAATTGTACTGCAAGGTACCATACCACAAAGGGAAGGCTGGGATTGAGTTTGAGGGTGATGAATCTTAAGGGGGTTCAAAAAATTTGGGGGGGGGAATTTTTTTTTTTCCTTTTTTTTCTTTTTTTCCTTTTTCTTTTCTTTTGAAATTTTCCATTTTAAGTTGGGTATTTCTGATTTATATTTAAAAGCAAATAATAATGATATGGAAGGAGATACACACCAAACAGGATGTGTAAATTATTATATAATAAGTATTGTGCAATAGCAAGAAATTTTCAATTGCACAGTATTGCACAATAGCAAGAAATCTTCAATTGCACAGTATTGTGCAAAAGAAGATACTTCGTATAAATTGCTTATTTCTTGACAAATTTCAATGGGGTTTTATTCTTGAATTCTTGGGGTTCTTTAATATGCTGAATCTAACCGTGTATTTAGTTTTTGGATTTTGGGCCCCGTTTTTAAATTGGTCCACATTGAGGTCCAAAGGGTCCAAAATTAAACTTTGTTTGATTTGCATCAAAAATTGAATTATTGGGGTTCTTTGATATGCCGAATCTAACCGTGTATTTTGATTCTTAATTTTTGGTTCCGTTTTCTAATTGGTCTACATTAAGGTCCAAAGGGTCCAAAATTAAACTTAGTTTGATTTTAACAAAAATTGAATTCTTAGGGTTCTTTGATATGCTGAATCTAAACATGTATTTAGATTTTTGATTATGGGCCCAGTTTTCAAGTTGGTCCAAATCGGGGTCCAAAATTAAACTTTGTTTGATTTCAACAAAAATTGAATATATGGGGTTCTTTGATATGCTGAATCTAACCATGTATTTAGATTTTTGATTTTTGGGCCCCGTTATCAACTTTGTCCACATTGAGGTCAAAAGGGTCCAAAATTAAACTTTGTTTGATTTCATCAAAAATTGAATTCTTGGGGTTCTTTGATATGCTGAATCTAACCATGTATTTAGATTTTGGATATTGGACCATAATAGGTGAATGTCCAATTAAAAATTTTTAAGTTCTTAGACCACATTCATTCTGTGTCAGAAACCTATGCTGTGTCAAATATTTAATCACAATCCAAATGCAAAGCTGTATCAAGCTTAAATGTTGTGTCCATATTTGCCCCAACTGTTCAGGGTTCGACCTCTGCGGTCGTATCAAGCTGCGCCCTGCGGAGCATTTTATTACAATTAAAAGGAAAATTGTATTGTTAGCGCTCTCATGTGTGCAATTCTTGCCAGATTTTAATAAAACTTATGTCATAGGTTTATATCAACAATGTCTTGGACAAGATCGAAAATCAGTGCTGATCAACAATTTTTAAAAGAGTTATGCCCCTTGGAAATATTAATTATATGGAAAATTGCATTGTAAGCACTCTCTCATGTACATTTTTTGCCAAATTTTTATCAGATTTATATTATAGGTTTATATCAGCAATGTCTTGGACAATTTTGAAAATCAGTCATGTCAGTGCCAACCAACAATTTTTACAAGAGTTATGCCCCTTGGAAATATTAATTATATCAGACATTGCATTGCATTTGCTCTTAGTCCTTCATTTCTCTAAGATATTCATAAAATTTTAAATTATTTTAAATTTTAATCTATTTTATCTGTCCTAGGGCAATAACTGAAAAAGATTCTTTTTTAGTTATCGCCCTAGGACAGATAAAATATGTGCAATGTAAGGGGCATTGGAATTCTATTCTTATATTTACCTACATGTACATGTATATATAATTTCTTGATTTGTCACATCACAACAATTAACAGAATCATTAGATAACCCCAATTAATTTACTTCTGTAATCAGACAAGTTGAAATACATGTATTACGAAACCCCTCATATTTTTATCCTGTGTTAATACATAGTTTAAACCAATTGAAATATATATATGTTGACAGAAATTATACTTCTTCATTAGATATCATTTTCTGTTTATATTTTTCTGTTGATGATATTAATCTTCAGTTTCATTTAAATATCTAGTAAAAAAAATTAAAAAGATATAGAAAGGTAAAAAGTGTGAGGGGTTTGGTTATAAACCATATAATTTTAATCATAGATAATCCTTGTAATTCTATTAATATTGAACTTCTAAAGAGAATGACTTTATATTTGGTCAGCAGCTTAACAGTGAAAAGTTGTAATGTGAGTGAAGAACTGTCAGACACCTATGTCCTGTTGAATTACAAGTGGGGGGTGCTTAGCATGACAACTCACACATTCTTGTCTCACTAGTACAATCTACCTCTGTTTTCTTAAATTAGTAGTTACCATAATTTAGAAATAGAAAAAGATAGCTATTATAAAATTCCTAGAAATGATAGAATATGTAAACTGTGCCACTTGCTGGAGGATGAAAAACACTGCCTCATTGAATGTAAAATTAACAAAACACTAAGGGATAAATTGTTTACCTTCTCATAATTTTATGTCTCTTACCCAAGAACAAAAAGTTAAAGAAATGCTAAACCCCTCTATTAATATTGGCTCCTTTATAAAACAGTCATCAGAACTGTGGGCAGAAGTCTTATAATTTTTTCCCCATGTGTTCACTTAATATTATAGAATTATTAGTTCTTTGCTATGTTATGTTTGTTTTTGTCACAAACTAAATATGTTTATATGACAATAAAGATATTATTATTATCAATTCATAATTAACAATTTTATATTTTTACAGCTTCTTCAGTTTAGAGGTACAATGACACAAGCTCAGATATGTCGCGGAGACCAAAACAACATGACAATATTTTCTATTCCTATGGCATCATTTACCTGTAATGAAACAGAACAGGTCATTTACAAAGTAGAATTGGGACATCCAGCTCATGGAGAAATTTCAGCTTTAGAAGATATACAGTGTGAAGAAAAGCTATTTGAATTACCACTAGCTTCAGAAAAAGAAATGGCTTCATCGATCAAAAGTGCAAAACGTGGAAGGAAAAAAAAAACAGGTGATGATTTAAAATGTGATATCTGTGGAAAACAGTATGCCTGCTTGAAACAATTGACTACTCATAAAAAATACCATTCAGATAAAAGACCGTATGAATGTTCCGTTGTTGAATGTGTTAAAAAGTTTAAATTTGCGAGTGATTTGTCAAGACACATGCGTATCCATACAAACTCACGGCCATACAAATGTAGTTATTGTGATATGGCATTTACCCAGTGTAGTGCCCGAAATCACCATCATAGACTACACACTGGTGAAAAACCGTACAAATGTCAACAGTGTGATGCTAGTTTCATACAGTCTGGATCCCTGACTAATCACATGATAAAACATACCAACGAACTTAACTATCAATGTGAAGACTGTTTAAACACGTTCAAAAGTAGGAAGGCCCTTCTTAGACACAAGAAAATCCATAAACCGACTAGAGATTACCAATGTCAGTATTGTTGGAGAGAATACTGCCAGAAATATGAATTGCAGCGACACTCAAAGGTATGTAAGTTCAAAGACAATCACCTACAAGAGAAATTTGACCTTGAAAAAGTGATTACAGAGGTTACTGAAATTGAATCCCGAAAAATTGATGAGGAAAAGGAAGAAGACAATCAAGATCTGCCTTTGAATCAAGATTTAAATGATGAGGAAAAGTTAGAAGACAATCAAGAGTCCTCCAAGACGCAAGAAAGCAATGAAAAATCATCCAAACATTTGGTAAAGCCCTATTTATGTTCTATATGTGGGAAACAATTCAACAGTAAAGGGAACTTAAAACATCACTTCATAACACACAATTTTACAGGAGGATTTCTATGTGAAGTCTGTGGTAAAAGATTTCATCATCAATCTACTCTAGACAGTCACGTTAGAATACAACACAAAGGGGAATCCCCTTATCAGTGCTCCATTTGTAATAAGATGTATACTTCTTCAGCTAGTTTGAATAATCATTTTAGAGTTCATTTTGATGATCGTCCCTTTGCCTGCAAAATATGTAAGAAAAGCTTTAAAGTAAAGAGGGCACTGCACAGACATATTAATATTCATGTCCAGGACTCTCCGCTAACAAATTGTGAATTCTGTGGTAAACCTTGCGTTGACAGAGGTGCAAAGATCACTCATTATAAACTTCATTTTAATCGTTTGTTTCAAAAAGCTGAAGTGAAAAAAACAAATACTGAGAGTGGTGCTGAGCAGATTCAGATCTTGCATTCCATATTAAAAAATAACAGAGGTCTGATCAAAAACCCAAAATGTGAAAATAGCCCATCTACATGTAAGTTAACATACAAAGAACAGCGGAATAAATGGCAAGAAAGTATGTTCAAAGAAATTGTTGAGGTTCTTGGCACTGAGAAAAAAAACTTTAATACACCAGTTAAATTGAAGGACATACCGAAAATAGGTATTATACAAAAAGATGTCTATATTGAAAAACCAATTATGAAACGACCACCAAAGAAAATGAAAATAAACCATAAAAGAACTGCACAAATTGTCAATGATGAAAAACATACAGAGGATATTAATAATTCTGGTTGTCATAGCAACCGTGCAATCAACAGATTAGAAAAGATAACTAGCAAGAGTTCAGATGTTTCTCCTAATTCAGAAGCTAATTCAAAGACATCAGAAAATAGTTTGAATGAAAAAAAGGATGGTGGTTTGAAAAAGAACTTATCTGAGATCAAATTGACACATATTAAACAGGAAGCTGAGGAAAATAATAAAGCATCAAGTGTTAACATGGATAAGTGTCCTTTGTCTGAAAATATCAGCATTGAAAACGAAACCAAGGGAGATAACAACGTGAAGCTTGAGATTTATGATTTTATTAAAAAGATAGATGAAACCGCTTTACAAATAAAAGATGATAAAGCTTTGAATTCTATTCTTCAGTACTCAAATAATATTACAAAAAACTGTTTTGAAACAAATGATGAAAATTCATCTGAAAATGTGGAAACAATTATAATGGGGGATAACTCTTCTGGGTTGAAAGTTTCAGATATTGGTTCATTGAAAGTGGATAGCTCCTTTGAGATAACAAATGATGGCACACATGGTGATAATTTTACAAAAGATGTTTTATCAGTGGAACATAATTCAGACATGAATTTTAGTAGTATGGAAGGCTTATTAGATTATTCATCAATGGGTGAAAATTCTTGTGTGTCAATTGAGGATAACAAAACAGCAGAAACGGAGAAACCAGAAGACATGCTCTCACCTGTTACAGATCAACAAGGAAATGAGATCGATGATACCAATAGAGACAACAAGAAAACATGTACCAGTCTGACTCAGGGGAATACATCAGAATTACTACAGAACGGTTTAAAAGTTTTAAGAGTTAATTTAACAAAAATGGGGAAACATGGTGGCATAGCTAAATCCTATTTCTGTTCGGAATGTGATAAAGGGTTTTACTTGAAACGTATGGTTGATAAACATGAAGCAAAGTGTCGAAAGGATGATGAAGAAAAAGAGAAAAATTTCTGTCACATTTGTGATAAAGAATTTAGTTCACGAAGTGGTAAAGCAAGACATATTGAAACAGTTCATCCATTTGATGGCATCAAGAAATATGCTTGTCAGATATGTGGGAAAAGATTCTCACAAAATAGTGCCAAAGTCCTTCACATGATTCGAGTTCATCAGAATGAGAAACGATATAAGTGTTCGGTGTGTAAAATTCGTTACAATATATTAGCTGACCTGAAAACTCACCAGAAAAAACATAGAAGTAGAATAAAGAAATTCGGCTGTCAATTGTGTGATGGGCTTTTCAATCGCAAGAGTGATTATGATCATCATGTTGGAAGAGTCCATCCAATGTCAAGGCCGTATAGATGTGGAGGATGCATGAAAGGTTTTAAAACAGCAAAGGAAGTTATGAATCATGGACATATTGAAAGATGTAAAGCTGCAACACCAAAAATATTGAAATTAGTTGTTGTAGATGAAACTGATTAATTGATATCTAATGACAATTGATACTGACATTTATAACAACTTATTTTCAGAGTATTGTACAAATAGTATCATTGTTTGGTAAAAAAAAAGCTATCTTTATTTATTAGAAGAGTAGGAGGGGGTATAATCCTGTATTCCCGAAAAAATAAAGTATTCTTTCCCGGATCCCGAAAAATAAATCTTCAATTCCCTAGTCCCGATAGGTGTAAATCCCAAATTCTAGCAAAAATAAAGGCCCAATCCTGAATTCCTCCAAAAATAAAGGTCCAATCCCAACGTCCTGAAAAAGGTCCCTCCGCCCCTAAGAAAACTTTTCTCCTTTAACTACATATTTTTAGAGAATTGTAGTAATAGTATGATTGTTTGATAAAAATTAAGAAATGAACACTAAAGAATAACTTTATTGCCCTTGCTGTGTAAAATTTTTTCAATCTACAACATTCGCCCTGTAACATATACCTATATGTTACTGAAGTATGTGAGAACATTTTTTTTCATTGTGACTACATTAATTTAGAGATTATTGCACATAAGGCTAAAATCTTCAAGCATATTTGATATATTTCTGATTTTAGATTTATTTGTTTTACATAGATATAAGAAGATGTGGTATGAGTGCCAATGAGACGACTCTCCATCCAAGTCACAATTTGTAAAAGTAAACCATTATACAGTTATAGGTCAAAGTACATGTACACTTCAATCTAATATTAACATGATTAAACAAAAGTTTGGAAAATACTATCTAACTTTATCAGTAAAGTTTGTTTTACTTCTTCACCATAGACATGATAGAAAGACTTATCAGAAGAATTTTTGAAGTATGTTTTGTCAAATAGGCTTGTTTATATATGAAATACTTGCCAGTGGACATTCAGCAAACATCAAGCAAACACCAATCAATTATCACTGATTATACAAAAAACTGGGAATTATTTATTTTAATCAACCTATTGTCAATCCAAATATATTAATCACAAACTTATTCATTTGTAACACCACAATGAACTTGTACCTGTTGTATAAATTGTATTTCTTTATTTATGATTGTATTTTATTAATGGATAATTATATTCTCAAAGATTTTTCTATATTGCTTTAAATACAGTAGCAAGAACTTCTTTCTTCAACTTTATTTTTCCATTTAATGAAATGTCTGTCACCATCTGCCAGGGGTAGACTTGTTAAAATACTTATAGGTACTGGTAACTATTTTTGGAGATAGTTATCTCCCTTAGTCATCCAGATTTTGTTTAAATCTATATTTATAAAATTATATGCTATAATATTGTGTTCAATTGTCTGTCTTTAAAGGTTATCTTAATCATTTACAAAGACAATGAAAATTTTATTTGTTTGTAATTTTCAAAATACTGACCATTTTCTTCACAAATTTGTTAAGTAATTGCGTAATCACTTAACATCTGTAGAGATCTTTGTTAAATGCTTCAGGTAGACAAGTTTGAACTGTAAAACATATTAGGCAAACAGAAAAAAATAATTGATGCATGTTTTTGACTTACCTATAAAACTTGAGAATTTCAGGCATTGTTAAGAAAAATTACTGAATAAATGTTCATACAATTAACATGTACAAGTAAATATTTTAAGAAGCATAAGGGGAGATTATTCAAACATTAAAAGAAAATGTTTAACCTGACAAATCAATACTTACACATGTTAATATTACTTCAGTGTTCTAGCTTCAGAAGGGCACACTTTCAGTAGCAGATCAAACCAGGATTAAGAAGGCACATTAGTACAGTTTTTTGTATGAAAAAGGGACGAAGTTTATTTTATAGACAAATATAAGAAATAATTGAATGAATTAATGTATTTTTGCTGGATTTGTAGTATTTTTTAGTTGCAAAAATCTTTTTCCAGTTCAATAAATGATTTTTTTTGCATTTGAAATTATTTATCTATCTTCAAAAAAAAAGAAGAAAAAAGGCATAGAGCAGAACTATTAAGGCAGATAGATCAATGCCCCTCTATTTTGGGCTAGCTACGACACTGTACTTACATCTTTAAGTATATGAAGATTACTTGTGGGATTTGTGTAGCTCAGTCTTTAGTTTTCTATGTTGTGTTTTGTATACTGTTGCTTGTCTTTTGGTCTTTTTCTTTTTTGCCATGGCATTGTCAGTTTTTTTTGTTTTTTTTTTTACTTATGAGTTTGAATGTCCCTTTGGTATCTTTGCCTCTCTTGTTCAAGTTATACCCCTAACTAACCATGTACAGACTAATACCTTTAAATCCCCTGTATTATTTCAAATTACAAAGAAATTTTTACTGCATACATTGAAAGTGAGTTATTTTTAACTTATACTATTATATGAAAGTTGGACAGTTTAATGAAAATAATAACAGATACAACTTGAGCTACATGCATTTAAGTTGCTGTTGAGAAATTCAGTATTCAGACAAAAACATTTCAAGATTTTTGTCTCTCAACCATTCATTTGAACTCCAGAGAACAGGTATGTCCCTTTAACAAATAATTTTCATAGAAGTCAAGGTTCAAGGTCACTGTGACTTTATTATGATTGAGGCCAAATTTGGTTTAATATTGGTCCCGTTATTTAATAAAATATCCTGGTGGCCGTCTTGAACAGTAAATCGGCAACAAAGAAGCAACACTTGGTCAGCACCTCATAAGGAACATTCATGCCATGTTTGGTTTCATTCCATTCAGTGGTACTCTAAAAGAAGACATTTGTATGTATTTCCCATAGGGTCCTATATTAAACGAAGTCCCCCGCTGTCGGCCATCTTGGATGATGGACAGACTGCAAAGTAACAACACTTGGTCAGCACCTCATAAGGAACATTCATGCCATGTTTGGTTTCATTCCATTTAGTGGTTCTCTAAAAGAAGACATTTGTATGTATTTCCCATAGGGTCCTATGTTAAACTAAGTCCCCCGCTGGCAGCCATCTTGGATGATGGATTGACTAAAAAGTAACAACACTTGGTCAGCACCTCATAAGGAACATTCATGCCATGTTTGGTTTTATTCCATTCAGTGGTACTCTAAAAGAAGACATTTGTATGTATTTCCCATAGGGTCCTATATTAAACTAAGTCCCCGCTGTCGGCCATCTTGGATGATGGACAGACTGCAAAGTAACAACACTTGGTCAGCACCTCATAAGGAACATTCATGCCATGTTTGGTTTCATTCTATTTAGTGGTTCTCTAAAAGAAGACATTTGTATGTATTTCCCATAGGGTCCTATGTTAAACTAAGTTCCCCGCTGGCAGCCATCTTGGATGATGGATTGACTAAAAAGTAACAACACTTGGTCAGCACCTCATAAGGAACATTCATGTCATGTTTGGTTTCATTCCATTCAGTGGTTCTCTAAAAGAAGACATTTGTATGTATTTCCCATAGGGTCCTATGTTAAACTAAGTCACCCACTGGTGGCCATCTTGGATGATGGATCGGCTGTAAAGTAACAACACTTGGTCAGCACCTCATAAGGAACATTCATGCCATGTTTGGTTTCATTCCATTCAGTGGTACTCTAAAAGAAGACATTTGTATGTATTTCCCATAGGGTCCTATGTTAAACTAAGTCCCCCGCTGTCGGCCATCTTGGATGATGGACCGACTGCAAAGTAACAACACTTGGTCAGCACCTCATAAGGAACATTCATGCCATGTTTTGTTTCATTCCATTCAGTGGTTCTTTAAAAGAAGACATTTGTATGTATTTCCCATAGGGTCCTATGTTAAACTAAGTCCCCCGCTGTCGGCCATCTTGGATGATGGACCGACTGCAAAGTAACAACACTTGGTCAGCACCTCATAAGGAACATTCATGCCATGTTTTGTTTCATTCCATTCAGTGGTTCTTTAAAAGAAGACATTTGTATGTATTTCCCATAGGGTCCTATGTTAAACTAAGTCCCCCGCTGGCGGCCATCTTGTAAGATGGATTGGCTGCAAAGTAACAACACTTGGTCAGCACTTCATAAGGAACATTCATGCCATGTTTGGTTTCATTCCATTCAGTGGTTCTCTAAAAGAAAACATTTGTATGTATTTCCCATAGGGTCCTATGTTAAACTAAGTCACCCACTGGTGGCCATCTTGGATGATGGATCTGCTGTAAGGTAACAACACTTGGTCAGCACCTCATAAGGAACATTCATGCCATGTTTGGTTTCATTCCATTCAGTGGTTCTCTAAAAGAAGACATTTGTATGTATTTCCCATAGGGTCCTATGTTAAACTAAGTCCCCCGATGGTGGCCATCTTGGATGATGGATCGGCTACAAAGTAACAACACTTGGTCAGCACCTCATAAGGAACATTCATGCCATGTTTGGTTTCATTCCATTCAGTTGTTCTTTAGAAGAAGTTCAAAATGTAAAAAGTTAACGACGACGGACGACGATGGACGCCAAGTGATGAGAAAAGCTCACTTGACCCTTTGGGCCAGGTGAGCTAAAAACTAACAAAATAAAATGCTCCGCTCGGCGCAGCCTTATACAACTTGATATGTATATTAACCAACACCAGAGGGTGTGTCATAATGTATGTACAACTTCCTAGGTCAAAGGTCAATGTCAAAAACTTTGGTTTTAGTTGACAACCCAATGTCCTATGGTAAAGATCGTGTCTGCTCTATATCTTGAGAACCGTTATGAGTTCAAAGTTTATACTTGATATGTATATAAACCAACACCAGAGGGTGTGTCATAATTTATGTACAACTTCCTAGGTCAAAGGTCAAGGTCAAAAACTTTGGTTTCATTTGACAACCCCATGTCCAATGATAAAGATACAAATTTGTTACCACACATTATTCACAGCGGGGCCCACAGAGATGGCTCCCATCTCAATGATACCAAGTTTGCTTTTATATATAAATCAGAAATAACCAATTTAAAATGGAAAATTTTAAAGAAAACCCCAACCCCCCCCAAAAAAAAAAATTTTTGAACCCCCTTATTATTCATCACCCCCCAAACTCAATCCCAGCCTTCTCTATGGTATGGTACCTTGCAGTACAATTTCAGAGAGATCCATACACTTGAACAAAAGTTATTGTCTGGAAACTAGAAAAATGCTTGTTTTTTTGCCCCTTTTTGGCCCCAAATTCCTAAACATTTAGGGCAATTACCCCCAAACTCATACCCAGCTTTCCCTTTGTGATATTGAACCTTGCAGTACAATTTCAGAAAGATCCATACACTTACACACAAGTTATTGTCATGAAACTAGAAAAATGCTTGTTTTTTGCCCCTTTTTTGCCCCCTCATTCCTAAAATTTTGAGGCAATTACCCCCAAAATCAATCCAAACATTCCCTTTGTGATATGGAACCTTGCAGTACAATTTCAGAGAGATCCATACACTTGAACACAAGTTATTGTCTGGAAACTAGAAAAATGATTATTTTTGGCCCCTTATTCCTAAACATTTTGGGCAATTACCCCCAAACTCAATTCCAGCTTTTCCTTTGTGATATGGAACCTTGTAGTACAATTTCAGAAAGATCCATAGACTTACACACACAAGTTATTGTCATGAAACTAGAAAAATGCTTGTTTTTTGCCCCTTTTTTGGCCCCTAATTCCTAAAATTTTGAGGCAATTACCCCCAAAATCAATCCAAGCATTTCTTTTGTGATATGGAACCTTGTGGTACAATGTCAGAGAGATCCGTACACTAACACACAAGTTATTTTTGGAAGTTACAATAATGCTTATTTTTGGCCCCTTTTTGGCCCCTAATTCCTGAACTGTTGGTACCCTAACCCCAAATATCAATCCTAACCTTCCTTTTGTGGTATTGAACCTTATGGTAAAATTTCATAGAGATCCATTCTCTTAAACTAAAGTTAGAGTGCGAAAACCAATGTGGCTTCGGACGACGACGCCAACGTCATACCAATATACGACCACAAAATTTGTTTGCGGTCGTATAAAAACTATAGACACAAAGTACTGATCTTAAAGTACTAGCAGTTACTGAAAGCTAGTTCCAAAATCAATTACAACTAATAAATAAAGCATATTCCCCCGACGTATTCAGTCACTGTTACATGTATTTACCACTATATCAGACAAGTGTGTTATTAATATGAACTTACTGTAAATTCAGTAAAACTTTTACACTTGCATTAATTAGATTCTACAATTTTGCAAGTAGTCAAGGATTCGATAAATTTATTGCACTAAAAGTTCTCTCTAATCAACAACCTTCAGGAGCAGTAAACTGTAATAACAGATATAAGGTCAATAGAATCAACCCCATATACATGTTCACTATAACAAGGTGAAGTTTGATTGCCCACGAAACAACTTTCCACCAGAGACCAAATGACATAGAAGGTAGCACCTATTGGTCACTGTATGACCTTCAACAATGATTGAGCAAGCCCATAACATATAGTAAGCTATACAATGTATAAGGTCCTTTAAGCAGTCGACTGTGGATTCATTAAATTTTGTGGATTCAAGAAAAATTGTACCTTTGTCGATATTTGATTTTGTGGTTTTGCCAAAGTCTGCATACAACTATAAAGAAGATTTGTACTTTGTTGAACATTTCTATTGAGGTTCAACTTTATACACTAAATCCATAATAATTGGTATCCCAAGAATAATATTGAATCCACAGTATAATGAATAAATGGAGAATGTGTCCCCATGGACACAGATGATGCCCCCACTTGCATACAACATTATGAAGGGATATAACTCAAGAACGATAAAAGTGTATTATGTACAGGTTTCATAATGTTTGGTTGGGGCAAACTTAAGTTAGAGAAAGGAAACTAAAAATTTTGCATTTTTTTTCCATTTATAAAGGGGCATACACAGAGAATGGTTAAAGTGACCACACCAAAATTCAAACTTGATCGGTGTTTTGTGGTAGTAAGCATTGTGTATAAATTTCATAACATTTGGTTAAGGCAAACTTAAGTTAGAGAATGGAAACTAAATATTTTGCAATTTTTCCATTTATAAAGGGGCATAACTCTAGAACAGTTAAAGTGAGGCCACCAAAATTCAAAGTTGATCAGTGTTTTGTGGTAGTTAGCATTGTGTATAAGTTTCATAACATTTGGTTGAGGCAAACTCAAGTTAGAGAACGGAAACCAATTTTGGGACGTACGTACGTACATAAGTACAGACGGACAAGGGTAAAACTTAATGCCCCCTCCGCTACGGCAGGGGCATAATAAAAGAAGATGATCAATAGTTATCATTATGTATTGAAATTGTACATTAGTCACTTTTATGTAGATTTTGGTTACATAGCTTCTCACATAGTCAATTATTTACACATCCTTGGCTGGGTTTTCAGCGTTCCTGATGAAGGTATTAAAATCTGGAAAACTTTTCCTACACACTAAAAAATAGGGGAATTGAACCTCTTGAATAATTGTCTGCTTGCCTCTTAGTGCCAGAAGTCTCTCAAGTTTAATTCCTCCATGGTCAATCCAAGAATTTGAAATTTGTATTTACTTCCTATCCAACATGGCCAAGTAGGGAACAGAGTTAAAGCTTATTTCCTAATGCTTATAGTTTAAAGGTTTGGTTGACTTGCTTGCTTTGTTTGTATAAACATTAGCTCAAGCATTGTAATTAAGATTGACATCTGCAATCAATAGATATAATTTACAGGCATTAGGAAAAAAAATAGCTCTAAGAGTAAAGACTGGTTGACTTGAATAATTTGTCTATATATCAGTAGAGTTACTAGTGATCATGTGGACTATTGCATTGAGAGATAGCACATGTAATAACGGATGTCAAGTAAATGTCTACAACAAATCAGGGTTGTATGTTTCTACACAACATGTATGATTTGATTTTACACCTGGGTGTTAATTATCTGTCAATCAATCAAATTGAACATATCAACATATCAAAAAATTGAATAGAGTTAATGTAGAAATATCAACATAACAATGAAAATAAGGTATAGATGTTTATTACATATTTTTTGTTTGTACATGATATTTTCAAGCTTGTTAAATTCATAATAAGAATATGGTAATTGAAATTATTATACGTCATGTCAAAATGCCAGATTTTGATTGGTCAATGGTATCCCCACATGGGTATCCCATTGGTACATTTTTGAAAAATCTATTTTTAGGATATTTAGTCAAATACAAGAATGCATTAAATCTGAAATAGCCAATTGCATTATCTACGAAAAGGATGAAATTAAGTTTAATGAATATTTTTACATTTGGTTCTCAAAAGGTACTCCACCTTCCTCCAAATATAAATTGTCCTCCATGATATAGCTAATAGTGCTGAAAGTGGTGTTAAACACAATCAATCAATCAATGGTTTTACACATAATAAATTTTCAAATAAAAACTTTCAATAACAAAAAACTAAAATCCAACAATAAAGCACTTCTTCAATATGCAATAACATAAATGTAATGTTAATTGGTGATTCAGGAGCAAAAACAACCAACAGAAATTCATTGATACAAATCTTATATCATGTATATTATGTATTAGTTGATACTAAAGTAAACGAGTCAAATACAAGTGTGAATTCTAATCTGATAACAGTTAATAGCAATGGAAATGTATTTTTGTCAGAATGACTGGAAAATTACTTTGTAATTTGTACAACCTATTGTCATGGAAATATTTTAAGTATACCAGAATTTCACTTTTTTCAATTGTTAACTATGATTTTTTTCAATGTAAAGGTAAACTTGTATGTTATTTATGAATAAAAGATGATGTGGAGTATTCGTCGATGCAAACCATCTACACAAAAAATAAAAAAACATCCAGAGATTAACATACATTCTTCAGACAAGAAGTATGACCCCATTCTCAAATATCTCAGTGCAAAAAAACACTTGTTGGTTTCTTGTCGAAATAGTAATGACTTTCAAAATGTAATAACTTCAAGCTTTCTCTGCAAAAAATACAGTTATCTAGACAGAAATTTTTACTCAGGTTATACAAAAATTTAAAGATCTCAATCATTTTTTAAAGCTGCCTGGAACTTATGATACTAAAAACTTCTTGATTGCTCAACAGTTAATAATTCTGCTTTCATAAACTAAGAAAAAATACATTTTTGAGAATCCACAATTCAAACTTTATTAGGTAAATATTTCAGTTTTTGTCTCTTCTACTCAATTTACATTTAAAAAGTTCTTCTATATTTTGCATATTTACAAATAGTTGATTGTGATTGGTTCATAAGATATTTTTTTTGGTTTCTTTTCAATCTATTATTTTGTCAAACTACTGATATATATATAGTCAAGCTCCATACACATACATGTAACTCTGGGATTAAAAAAAAGTTGAAAATGACAGAAAAATTATATCAAATGTTTGTGTTGAGAAAAATGTAGATTAAACACATTTTTTTCTAGAGTTTATTGATGTGTTAACTGGGCACCTGACTCACAAACTTAACATAACAGTCCTTCAGACTTTTATTCAGTTTGTGAGTTAATCAATCTGCCAATTTCACGCATCAATAACCTCTAGAATAATTGTGTTTAATGATATAGTAACAAAAAAATTTTTTGCAACCAAAATATGAATTAATATATCAGTCCATCATCATGTCTGCGCCATCAGGCCCAGTAGCATCGGTAGAGATATGTAAATCATCAAGCATCTCTTGGAGACTGATCTGTGGCAATTCTTCATCATCTGTGTCATCTGCATCAACTGCAAGCTTGGAAGGATCTGAAATATTTTGTACAATCAAAACTTTCTGATCTAAACTTTTTGGGGTCTGGAGATTAAGTTAATGTTTGATATACACAGGTATAATATTTATCCATTGTGTGTTATGGTACAAGTATTCAACTTAGACAGGTTTGTTGAATACAAAGGTAAACACAGTTTTATCATTAACAAGTTTTGAGTTAGACAGGTTTCACTATGAGCCTGTTGTCTTTGATAAATTGTATTTGTTAATTAATTAATTTATTAATGTAATTATTAATAACTGAACAATTTTTGTCTACAATATGGTTCCACATATCCACAATTGAACATCCCATATATCCTCACTTATTAAAACAAGCATTCTGTGAGTATTGCCTGGCAATACATAGTCCCCTACCGGTTACAAATTCATTGTAATGGAACAAAATTCTAACTTGATCTATAACTTGTCATGGTGTAAACAACATAAAAGTATAAAGTGAAAATCTTCAAGCATGATGAAATAAAATGCTCCCAGCAGGGCGCAGCTTGATACGACCGCAGAGGTCAAACCCTGAACAGTTGGGGCAAGTATGGACACAACATTCAAGGTTGATACAGCTTTGCATTTGGATTGTGATTAAATATTTGACACAGCATAAATTTCTGACACAGAATGAATGTGGTCTAAGAACTTAAAAATTTTAAATTGGACATTCACCTATTAAGGTCCTATATCCAAAATCTAAATACATGGTTAGATTTAGCATATCAAAGAACCCCAAGAATTCAATTTTTGATGAAATCAAACAAAGTTTAATTTTGGACCCTTTTGACCTCAATGTGGACAAAGTTGATAACGGGGCCCAAAAATCAAAAATCTAAATACATGGTTAGATTCGGCATATCAAAGAACCCCATATATTTAATTTTTGTTGAAATCAAACAAAGTTTAATTTTGGACCTCGATTTGGACCAACTTGAAAACTGGGCCCATAATCAAAAATCTAAATACATGTTAAGATTCAGCATATCAAAGAACCCCAAGAATTCAATTTTTGTTAAAATCAAACTAAGTTTAATTTTGGACCCTTTGGAACTTAATGTAGACCAATTTGAAAACGGAACCAAAAATTAAGAATCTAAATACACGGTTAGATTTGGCATATCAAAGAACCCCAATAATTCAATTTTTGATGAAATCAAACAAAGTTTTATTTTGGACCCTTTGGACCTCAATGTGGACCAACTTAAAAACGGGGCCCAAAATCCAAAAACTAGATACACGGTTAGATTCGGCATATAAAAGAACCCCAAGAATTCAAGAATAAAACCCCATTGAAATTGGTCAAGAAATAAGCAATTTATACGAAATATCTTCTTTTGCACAATACTGTGCAATTAAATATTTCTTGCTATTGCGCAATACTGTACAATTGACAATTTCTTGCTATTGCGCAATATTGTGCTATTGGATATTTCTTGCTATTGCGCAATACTGTGCAATTGAAGATTTCTTGCTATTGCGCAATACTGTGCAATTGAAGATTTCTTGCTATTGTGCAATACTGTGCAATTGAAAATTTCTTGCTATTGCACAATACTTTTTATATAATAATTTACACATCCTGTTTGGTGTGTATCTCCTACCATATCATTATTATTTGCTTTTAAATATAAATCAGAAATAACCAACTTAAAATGGAAAATTTTAAAAGAAAAAAAAAAGAAAAAAAGAAAAAAAAAGGAAAAAAAAAAATCCCCCCCCAAATTTTTTGAACCCCCTTATGATTCATCACCCCCAAACTCAATCCCAGCCTTCCCTTTGTGGTATGGTACCTTGCAGTACAATTTCAGAGAGATTCATACACTTGAACACAAGTTATTGTCTGGAAACTAGAAAAATGTGTTTTTTGGCCCCTTTTTGGCCCAAAATTCCTACAATATTGAGGCAATTACCCCCATCATCAATCCCAGCCTTCCCTTTGTGGTATGGTACCTTGCAGTACAATTTCAGAGAGATCCATACACTTACACACAAGTTATTGTCCTGAAACTAGAAAAATGCTTGTTTTTTGCCCCTTTTTGGCCCCTAATTCCTAAAATATTGAGGCAATTACCCCCATCATCAATTCCAGCTTTCCCTTTGTGGTATGGTACCTTGCAGTACAATTTCAGAGAGATCCATACACTTGAACACAAGTTATTGTCTGGAAACTAGAAAAATGCTTATTTTTGGCCCCTTTTTGCCCCCCAATTCCTAAACGTTACGGCAATTACCCCCAAACTCAATTCCAGCTTTCCCTTTGTGATATGGAACCTTGTAGTACAATTTCAGAAAGATCCATACACTTACACACAAGTTATTGTCATGAAACTAGAAAAATGCTTGTTTTTTGCCCCTTTTTTTGCCCCTAATTCCTAAAATTTTGAGGCAATTACCCCCAAAATCAATCCCAGCATTCCTTTTGTGATATGGAACCTTGTGGTACAATGTCAGAGAGATCCATACACTAACACACAAGTTAAGTCTGGAAGTTACAAAAATGCTTATTTTTGGCCCCTTTTAGGCCCCTAATTCCTTTACTGTTGGTACCATAACCCCCAAAATCAATCCCAACCTTCCTTTTGTGGTATTGAACCTTGTGGTAAAATTTCATAGAGATCCATTTACTTAAACTAAAGTTATTTTGAGAAAACCAATGTGTCTTCGGACGACGGAGACGACGACTCCAACGTCATTCCAATATACGACCGCAAAAATGAGTTATTTCCCTTTGAACAGAAATCTACTAATTTATAAGTATTTCATCAAAAATTTAATTCTAGGGAAAGGGCTTTAACTGAACAAAGAGAAAAGCTTAAATCATGAAAATTGAACTTTACCTGTAACTTGTCATGATAAATCAATAAACCAAATATCAAATCAATTGATTCAAGCATGAAGAAAAAAAGGCTGGAAAACTGATTTGCTAGACAGACAGACAGACAAACGGATGGAGTGTAAACCTAAAGTCCCCTCGACTTCATCAGTAGGGGACTAACAAGCTGAGCAAAAATTATTCCCTTTTATTTCTTCACTCAAAAAAATGATATACCTGGTATTAAAGTGATTTCACATATAGAACATTCAGGTATACAGCACACTACGAAGCACAAGATTAAGCTTGATACCAAATAGCATAATGCTATATTGGCAAAAATATAATTCTTTAGTAAAAGACTTAGGTGTATATATGGCAAAAAAGAAATACCAAAAATCTGAAAGTATTTTATACTCTTGTACTCTTTAAGTTATGTTTTGTACTCATGATGAGAAATGTTATAGAAATGTGATATATATAGAAAGATGGACACACAGAGACGACCTATGTTATCATTTCACAGAATATAACATTGCCACATAAAATGACCACATTTCCTTTTTATTATGTTATTCCTAATTCTGAGAGCACCTGAGATTACCTCCTGATTTTGGTGGGGTTTTGCTCAGTGTTGTGTTTTGTAAACTGCTGTTTTGTCAATTGGTCTTTTTTCATTTCTTGCCATGTTATTGTCAGTTTTATAGCCATACCAGCATCTTGACATGATGTAATTCTTACCTTTATATATATCCACATTCCGTCTAAAAGCTTCGTCCTCTTCCAGATCCTCAAGAAAGTCAGTATAATCCCTTAAATATACAAAACAGAAAGTTAGTGATTTAAGCCAAATTCATGATATATTTCAAATTTAGGTTCATTTCAGGGTAATAGAAGGTAACCCCCCCCCCCCCCCCCCAAAAAAAAAAAAAAACCAACCAAAACCACATATTGATAATTCAATATTAATGCATTACTGTATGAAGCGTATTTGGGATATTCCACTTACATGTTATTGTTGAAAATCCATAGAAGGTATTTTGTCTAGATCTTGTAACCTATTATCCCTTGTTAAATATCTGAAGCTATTGATACAAAAAATTACTTATTCTCATGTAATTTTAACACAACAATAAGATAACAATAAGATTGACAATAAAAAGCTCCCATTCAATTTTGTGTGTAATTTGCTATGAATACTGTCGTTCGACAAAACTATTGCAGTTTAAAAAGAATTAACAAGTGAATCTGTGAGCTACTGCTCACTAATGATACCCCCACCTGCTAAGAGTATAAGGTAAAAAGGAAGTTGTTGAGTGATGAATCTGAAAACGCATCACACGGTATAGCTGACTCATATAAACCCTGAAACCAAATTTCAGAAATCCTTGTAATGTAGTTCCTGAGAAAGATGCAACAAAAAATATTCATGGGACGGACGGACGGACGGATGGACTGACAGAGGTAAAACAGCATACCCCCACTTTTTAAAGCGGGGGTATAACAACTGCCTGATCCTGAAAGTTGACACAGTTAATGACAGAATGTAGGATTGCTATGATTTAATTCACAACTTTCATGGCAGGCAAGACAAAAACACAAATGGCCAACCCATATCACTGCTAAATAAATGAAAGAAATTTTAAAGACACAAAAATGTCAGCTGTTTGAATCAGTATTCTAGATAAAGCGAACACTATTGCTGTAGGCAATTATAAAAGAATACTCAGAAATCACAATGTGTAGATGACTTTAAAATTTATGCACTTTCCAGTATATTTTCTTAGTCACAATGCTCATGTTATTACGTCACAGTAAGAAACAGTTGTTAAATGACATCATAATTGACCTCATGTCAACCAGTTTAATTCATTGATAAAAAAACAACTTGAGATTGGTCTATATGAGTTGTATGACATTTGTTTTGGTAAAAAAAAGTCTCACTCCAAATAAAAAGATTCTTTTAATTTCATCCCTCCGTCACGCAAGTTAATTTAGAAGCTGTCATACAGGTACCAAAATATCTACATCAGTTATTCATAAAATATGTAAATTCAGGTGAACCACTAGTTGAAAACATAAATGTTTCAGCATCTTGAATCTGTCTGAAACTAGTGCTGTCAGCAATCAGCAAGACTAATTCCACTCGTACATGCATTTTAGTTGCTGCTGTGAAATTCAGTATTGAGACAATGACATTTTGATATTCTTGACTTTCAGCATAAAGTTCAAACTGACAGACATGGTGAATCCTATATACCTCCATAGTTTGTTTTGGGGGGTATAATACTGATTATATTTGTCTTTTATTTTTGATTGGAAAGATAATTAATGTAAATACCTTTCATTACTAGACGTATCTGCATGAAGGTCGTCATGGAGATGCTTCAGTTTCCATTTCCTCTTTTTATTTCTAGAATTCTTGTCTCCAAATATCTTTTTCACCAGCATCTGAAAAAAACAAACTAGGTTGAACCTTGAACTTATAACTATACCTATACAAGCATTGACATTACAATAATGGATGTTACAAAAACATATATAAACCAGAACTTTTAATCAAATGAAATTTTACTTAAAAACACACCATGTAGAAGACTGTATGCCTAACTCTGAATGTTTTATTTAGTCATTGAATTGAGTTGCTGCCTCATTGACAAGTAGCACACATCTCCTTTCATTCATTAGCCAAACTTACTCCTAATCCCCTGTTTGAGACAAGGCCGTAACTGCGTGCCTCCACTATACTAAAACTGTTTATTTTCTGTATAGTAAAGATTTAGATTTTCCCATACTTATTTTGTAATATAACTCACCACATCTGGAATTTTGTCGGCTTTCATTTTGTCAAACTCAGCATGGTTCAGGTTACAGTTAGTAAAATTAAACCTTCAAAGAAGAAGATATATGTGACTACCAATGTTTAGAGATCATGTTACTACCAATGTCTAGAGATCATGTAAAGTAAAGAAAACTAATTTTCAATAAATATTTCTGTACTAACAAAATATAGACTATACATACCACATCTTCTTATATATACATTTTGTCTTGTCATGGCCTTTTATAGTTGATCATATGGTATAGTATGGGTTTTGCTCATTGTTGAAGGCTGATCAGTGACCTATTATTAATTATAGTCATTTGGTCTCTGGTGAATAGTTTCTCATTTGCAATCATACCATATCTCCTTATTTTTACATTTTACATTTTCATAGAAAAATACTGAACTTTCAATGTATAAAACTCTCTGCATTCATTTACAAAGATGATTTTTATATCTCATTTTAAGGCAAGTAATATTTGCTGTTTTCATGGTCTAGTAAAAAATCAAGATAGATTGGTATCTCATTGACATGTTATATATTGTCCTACATATGCATGCAATATTTGAGACCACAGGCCCACCAGCCCAGGCCTGAACAACTTCTTTCTGGTCTGTAGATTTAAAAGTTTATTGTGAAGACTGGATCATTATGCAAGCCAGCCATTAATTACCAACCAATCAAAATGAAGCATATAAAAGCTCATTGACACTGACGAAGGCTATTTGTTAAGCCGAAATATTTGTCAACACAATTTTATAACATCATCTTTGTATACTACCATCTTATATTAGTACCGTTGTGCAAATCTTTAGACTTATATAATTTTTTCCTTATCTGCGCAGTATTGTCTATTCTAGATGATCCAGTACATCAAATTTACTGGTTGGTCATTTTTATAGACTTTTATTTATATATATAGATTACATATAAACTTACCCTAAAACTGAGTCCCCAGGATGCAGTAAATGACCTAGATGTGTTCTACAGAAATACTGCTGGTCACTTAGTCCAGTACTGGTCACCTGATTCACACAAACGTTGGCTAAAACATGCTGTAAAACAGGTAACACTTAGAAATTAGTTTTCCTTACCCACTTTTTGGGGACAAATTTGTTTTATCAATTTTTATAAAAAAAACCTGAGGGATTGCAGTTTAACAATTTTCCTACTTCTTATCTGTCTTTCTTTTACAATGAGTTGAACACATTTATTAAGTTTTATTAAACAGTACTACTAGTTAAATCAATCTTTTCTGATGAAAAGCACATTTATAATAGATGTACCATATTTTATAATCATCAACCAATTTCTGTCCATAGATGACAAAGATATCATCAGATATATAATGGTAACCAATTTCAAATATATATTGCTTCTTGATAGAAAAATTTCAAAGTTTCTGGACTAGATAAGATCTGGAAGGAAATGATACTCTTTAGATAACTTTAAAAAATTTTCTGATTATTTATTTTCAAAGCAAAATTATATATAAACACAACATCCCTGAAAAAATATCTGTGAGATCTATTAACAGAAAAAAGACAATGCAGCAAGATTAATTCCATTTTTCAAGGGTAGATAAATCTGTCTAAATAGTTACAATACTGGTAGCTTGGTGTGATAAAAGTGAGTGAAAGCAAAACTGCCTCATGATCATCAGAAATAACTGAATTTTGTGTATCTTGTTTAAATATTGTTTAAATAAAAGAAATATGTGTCTGAGGACACGAATGTGATTTGTCTTTATCCGCCAGGGGAAGTAACTCTAAATTCCCACCTTATTAGACACAGGACTTTTATGTGGTTTGTCTTTATCTGCCAAGGGAAGTAACTATAAATTCATACCTTGTTAGAAGACACAGGAGTTTTTTAATATGTGGTTTGTCTTTATCTGCCAGGTGAAGTAACTCTAATTTCCTACCTTATTAGAAGACACAGGAGCTTAATGTGGTTTGACTTTATCTCCATGGGGAATAACTCTAAATTCCTACCTTGTGAGACACAGGAGTTTATGTGGTTTGTCTTTATCTCACAGGGGAAGTAACTCTAAATTCCTTTCTTGTGAGACATAGTTTATGTGGTTTGTCTTTATCTCACGGGGGAAAGTAACTCCAAATTCCTACCTTATGAGACACAGGAGTTTTATTTGGTTTGTCTTTGTCTGCCACAATTTCTACATCTATCACCATGAACTCTGACAGCTGTTTAGGTTCACACACAGTTAGAAATGGATACCTCCAATACTGTGGGCCTTTTATTTCTGCCACTGTAATAGATGAAAAACCTTATAAAAACAAGCATTCTGAGAGTATTGCAAGGCAATACATAGTCCCCTACTGGTTAAAAATTAATTGTACTGGAACAATATGCTAACTTGATCTATAACTTGTCATGGTGTAAACTATATAACAAATATCAAGTCAATATCTTCAAGCATGATGACAAAAAAGTGTGGAAAACTGATTATTTAATTGAATTTTCTAAGTCCAAGGACCATAACGCTGCACAAAATCATCAGACCGGAACAAAATTCCAACTTGGTCTGTAACTTGTCTTGATAAAACTATTTACCAATTATCAAATCAATATCTTCAAGTATTACGAAAAAAAAGTGTGGAAAACTGATTACTTGAGTGAATTTTCTATGTCCAAGGACCATAACTCTGCATAAAATCATCAGACCAGAACAAAATTTGAACATGATCTGTAACTTGTCTTGATAAAACAATATACCAAATATCAAATCAACATCTTCAAGCACGAAGAAAAAAAGTGTGAAAAACTGATTTGCCCGACTGACAGATGGACCTAAAGTCCGCTAATAACTTGAAATATTAATGTAGGGAAATTTACTTTTGCAATACTGTGGATTCATTATTATTCGTTGGATACCAATTTTCGTGGATTTCCCAAGAACCCAAGAACCACGAATTCAAATGTTCAACGAATTACAAATCTTCTATAGGAATGTATGCAGACTTTGCCAAAACCACGAAATCAAATATCCACGAAAATGTAATTTTTCCTCAATCCACGAAAATTGGTACCCACGAAAATAAATGAATCCACAGTATACCAAATTAAGTTCATGGATGCATGGGCATCAGTTATCATGGTATTAGGAAAAAGTTTTTATGGATTCTTGATTTCATTGTTGTAACCAAATTCTCCATTCTGTAGGAAATTTTGTTTCATCTGGACCTTTTAAGGGTTAAAATTGGCCCTAAGATTTTGATGTTTTTTTTTAATTAGACCAAAATACTACATATTTTACATAAAATAATTTCGATATTACTATTCATCAAACATGTCAAAATAACATCTTTTTTGCACATTACATTATAAATGATTAATTGATGATCCATTAATTATGGGACAGATTGTTCAATAATTCTTAACAACTTTGTAAACACCAGCCTCATACAATTTTTCATGGATATGTCTTTATTGAGTGCAGATTCAAAGATGTACGCTTCCACTCAAGATAAAACTGATTATAAGGGCCCAGGCCAAGTGAAAATTTCCAACAATTCTATGGCTGGGATGAAGTATTTTTTTATTATCGTTTCCCAAACCCTCTAAATAGCCCCTCTACAGAGCCTGAAGTGAACTAGGATCTATAACATGTATTGTGATAGTAACTTTGTAACACAGACACAGCAGATTGATGTTACCTCTATGGAGCCCTCTACTTACCCTGAAGTGAACTAGGATCTATAACATGTATTGCGTTGGTAACTTTGTAACATAGACACAGAGGATTGATGTTTCCAAGTTGCTGAGCTAACTTTGGAGGCATACACACAACATTATCCTGTCAATAAAAATGCAAACATTTTATAACAAGAGGCTGTCAGAGTGACAGCAAACTGGATTTTCCTGCAAAGGTTGAACCCTGAACAGTTGAGAGAGTATGGACACTGCATTTAAACTTAAAACTTTTTCTTATTCTGAATATCTGAGCAGTCAAACTGTCGTTAATTAAACCAATAAATGTCAAATTTACAAAAATAAACAAAAAAATCCATCTATTGTCTTGGGATCTAAAAAAAGACTTGAAAAGAATTTTAAATGAGATGAAATGTGAAGCTTTAACATAATTAATGTACTGTTCTGTGTCTACATTATATAAATTGATATCTTAATTTTGATATTATACTACAATCCTAAATACCATTTCAACCGAAATATATTCTGTAAAAAAGGGAATTTTTTTTTCAATACTGACAATGTAAAATTCATCACAACCTTTGAATCCTCTTTCAAAAAAATTTGAACTTTTTACCTTACAAACATGCAAACTTGCTCATATTAAAAATAAGAAATCTTTCTAATCTTAAAAATAGGCAACCTTCTCATTTTAAAAACACGAAAACTTTCTCATCTTACAAATCGGCAAACTTTCTCATATCAAAAATAGGAAAACTTTCACGTCTTTAAAATAGGCAAACTTTTTCCCCTTAAAAATATGTAAAATTTCTTACAAATAGGCAAACTTTCTCACATTGAAAAAAGATTAACTTTCTTACCTTACAAATAGGTACTATCTCCACAGAGAAGGTGTGTTTATAGTTAAAGGTGTTATTGTGAATATCATGGGATATCAACTCCTCTGCCGTCTGAGTTCTGAAATAAAACATCTATGTTACATTTTATGTGCTGGTCAAAACATCAAATTATCCACTTCTCCAATGTATGAAATATATTACCAAAGTAGTATTATGGATTACACATGTGTCCAGTTTTATGATAGGATAACTATGCAGAGATGTCAGTATATATATATTCTGAAAACAATTTTAAAAGTAAATACTTTATTGCAAAAATATTTCTAACATTAAAATAAATTATTTGTCAAGATGAAAAAAAATGCATTAAAGTAAACATCATGAAGTACAAAAATATACTGAATACTGAGTATCTATATATACTGCATGGTGAATGTTCAACAAATACCTGGTACTGGAAAATAGTGTAAAGCAGGGGTAATCCATAATAAATATGTAATTCAGGTTTCAGACAGAGTTTATATACTGTGACATTCCCCGGCTGATGGTTTATATTCCCTTTGACTTCAGATCAGGGAATATGGACACTATGCCAGAAATGTCATATTATACACTGTATATACCCCGTCTGAGACCTGAATAACATAAGATATCTATATAGTATATAAAACATCTTCTTTAACTCTTTTTCCCCCCAAGTTTCGTCAATAATTACTCAACCAGGGGTTATTTTTACTGGTACTTAATCCAAATATTAAATTGGTATCCATAAGAAAAAACCTGAACAAATTTTAATTTCTAGTTTCTTTGGTAAAAAATTTGTAAGGGTTCCGCGGAACCCAGTGTCTCGCCTACTTTTGCTGTTAGTCGCAGGCTCAACAAAAATGGGGAAAAAATATTAAAAATTTTCCTCTAGATACTATCTTTTGATTGTAAGAAGCTTCTACCCAAGTTTGGTAAAAATCTAATAAATCTAATGAATCTAATAAATGTTTTAAAAACTTAACTGCAGACTGTATGTAATGTTAACTGGAAGAAAAACTAAGTCCATTTATAACATGTATAAGTAATATACAGAAAAACAGGAAATAAATTTTTACGAATTTCCTTCTAGATACTAGCTTTTGATCATAAACAAGCTTCTGTCCAAGTTTGGTACAAATCCAGGATAGTTTAGGAAAGGTATTAAAATTTTTAAAAGTTTAACCACAGAGTGAATGTAATGTTAACTGGCAGAAAAACTAAGTCCATTTATAAGTAAAATATGGATACACAGGATTTTTTTTTTTTTTTAAATTTACTTCTGGATACTATCTTATGATCATAAACAAGCTTCTGTCCAAGTTTGGAAGAAATCCAGGATAGTTTAAGAAAGTTATTAAAATTTCAAAAACTTTAACCACAGAGTGAATATTTGTGGACGCTGCTGACGACGATGATGACAGAATGTAGGATCGCTATGTCACGCTTTTGCGACAAAAGTCGCAGACTCGACAACAAATGGCATTTAAAAAGTGTCAACACAATTCAGAACCTCCCTCAATGTTTTTTCTGGGGGAAATTTAGCCAAGTATTTTCCCTACTTTTAAAAAAGTATCAAAGTTTTCCATTAATATGTCACATGAGATTCCACTTCATCTAATTTGTAAAAATAATATTTGAATAAATAGTTGAAACCAGACATTTAACCATTGCAGCAATTGATGAAAAAATTAATGTTGAATGGGTGTTTTTAGTGCTTCCATATTCTTAAGGAAAAATTCTGAACTTAACTTAATTTCGATTGTTACCCTCATTGAAACATTACAATAATACAAAGCTCCTTTTTAAATTTTGAAAACAGATATTATCCTTATACAAAAACAAACCTGCATGGTACAACTGTATTAAGGAAGTCTACCAACTTTCTAGCATCCTGCTGTTGTATGTAGAAGAAATCCAAACCCTCTGTTAAATAAAAAGACAACATTAGGATAGTTCATTTAGCCCTGAATATTGTTCTGCTTTCTACATGACGATAGTTCATTTAGCCCCAAATTTTGTTCTGCTTTCTACATGACGAAGTTCATTTAGCCCTGAATATTGTTCTGCTTTCTACATGACGATAGTTCATTTAGCCCCAAATTTTGTTCTGCTTTATACATTATGATAGTTCATTAAGTCCTAAATTTTGTTCTGCTTTCTACATTACGATAGTTCATTTAGCCCTGAATATTGTTCTGCTTTCTACATGACGATAGTTCATTTAGCCCTGAATATTGTTCTGCTTTCTACATGACGATAGTTCATTTAGCCCCAAATTTTGTTCTGCTTTCTACATGACGAAGTTCATTTAGCCCTGAATATTGTTCTGCTTTCTACATGACGATAGTTCATTTAGCCCCAAATTTTGTTCTGCTTTCTACATTTCGATAGTTCATTTAGCCCTGAATATTGTTCTGCTTTCTACATTACGATAGTTCATTTAGCCCCAAATTTTGTTCTGCTTTCTACATTACGATAGTTCATTTAGCCCTGAATATTGTTCTGCTTTCTACATGACGATAGTTCATTTAGCCCCAAATTTTGTTCTGCTTTCTACATTACAATAGTTCATTTAGCCCCGAATATTGTTCTGCTTTCTACATTACGATAGTTCATTTAGCCCTGAATATTGTTCTGCTTTCTACATGACGATAGTTCATTTAGCCCCAAATTTTGTTCTGCTTTCTACATTACGATAGTTCATTAAGTCCCAAATTTTGTTCTGCTTTCCACATGACGATAGTTCACTTAGCCCCAAATTTTGTTCTGCATTCTACATGACGATAGTTCATTTAGCCCCAAATTTTGTTCTGCTTTCTACATGACGATAGTTCATTTAGCCCCAAATTTTGTTCTGCTTTCTACATGACGATAGTTCATTTAGCCCCAAATTTTGTTCTGCTTTCTACATTACGATAGTTCATTAAGTCCCAAATTTTGTTCTGCTTTCCACATGACGATAGTTCATTTAGCCCCAAATTTTGTTCTGCTTTCTACATGACGATAGTTCATTTAGCCCCCAATATTGTTCTGCTTTCTACATGACGATAGTTCATTTAGCCCCCAATTTTGTTCTGCTTTCTACATTACGATAGTTCATTAAGTCCCAAATTTTGTTCTGCTTTCCACATGACGATAGTTCATTTAGCCCCAAATTTTGTTCTGCTTTCTACATTACGATAGTTCATTTAGCCCCGAATATTGTTCTGCTTTCTACATTACGATAGTTCATTTAGCCCTGAATATTGTTCTGCTTTCCACATGACGATAGTTCATTTAGCCCCAAATTTTGTTCTGCTTTCTACATTACGATAGTTCATTAAGTCCCAAATTTTGTTCTGCTTTCCACATGAAGATAGTTCACTTAGCCCCAAATTTTGTTCTGCATTCTACATGACGATAGTTCATTTAGCCCCAAATTTTGTTCTGCTTTCTACATGACGATAGTTCATTTAGCCCCAAATTTTGTTCTGCTTTCTACATGACGATAGTTCATTTAGCCCCAAATTTTGTTCTGCTTTCTACATTACGATAGTTCATTAAGTCCCAAATTTTGTTCTGCTTTCCACATGACGATAGTTCATTTAGCCCCAAATTTTGTTCTGCTTTCTACATGACGATAGTTCATTTAGCCCCCAATATTGTTCTGCTTTCTACATGACGATAGTTCATTTAGCCCCCAATTTTGTTCTGCTTTCTACATTACGATAGTTCATTAAGTCCCAAATTTTGTTCTGCTTTCCACATGACGATAGTTCATTTAGCCCCAAATTTTGTTCTGCTTTCTACATTACGATAGTTCATTAAGTCCTAAATTTTGTTCTGCTTTCTACATGACGATAGTTCATTTAGCCCACGAATATTGTTCTGCTTTCTACGAATATTGTTCTGCTTTCTACATGACGATAGTTCATTTAGCCCCGAATATTGTTCTGCTTTCTACATTACGATAGTTCATTTAGCCCCGAATATTGTTCTGCTTTCTACATTACAATAGTTCATTTAGCCCCGAATATTGTTCTGCTTTCCACATGACGATAGTTCATTTAGCCCCGAATATTGTTCTGCTTTCTACATTACGATAGTTCATTTAGCCCTGAATATTGTTCTGCTTTCTACACGACGATAGTTCATTTAGCTCCGAATATTGTTTTGTATTTGGCATGTTTTGTGTTCTTTATATCAACAATGGATTGCACATTTATGCATTTATCAAGTTTTGCTAATTTTCTAAAATTAAAAGTTTGTATGGTCTTTTGAGTTTTTGATTACCGTAGAAAGGCTTGTATAGTCCGCGGTTTTATTCTCCAAAATTGGACCTTTCAGACGGGGTGCGGACTATAGAGTACAATAAGCAAGAAATAAGAGAAAAATTTCAATTTCGCGGTCGAGGTGGTTTGTTTACGTTCCGCCATCTTTGTTATTTCTATTGTAGAGGGCGCTCTTATCATTTTTCAAACTAATAATTTTAACTCATCCATATTAATAAGTTATTTCTATTCAATATCAAATTAATACTGATAAATATAAAAACTAAACCTTTCATTACAAATTTCTCGTTTCTTTTCAATGCATTGGTTGAAATAAACTGGTATCTGCTCGATTGAAACGATACAAACATAGTGAAAAAGACAACCGTAAACCAGCTTAGAATTTGTAAACTACAAAACGAAATCGGTTATTGTTCGTTCCGTTTTGGTGTTTCATACTGACTTATATGGTTTGTATTAGCTTAAGACCCTTTAAACATTAATGTGATAGATATATTAAAGACTGTTTTACAAAAGGATGGAACTGTTTTACTTTCAAAGTCGTATTATAGTGATATCTGTTATGTACGGATTTCGACTCTCAACGGTTAATTTCTTCTTTTACACGTGCTTTTTAAACTTCCTGTTTAAACATACACAAGTTTCTAAATTGTTTTTTAAGTGAATTAAACTTATTTTAACAATCATGAAGCGTTCTAGAATCATTAACAAGCAGTTTCAGCTTCTGTTTGGTGATGGAAAACAGGTTTTTGCAAGAAAATACCGCAAACGACCGCACAGGATTTGAAATTACCGGAGTTTCATTAGACCTTTTCTAACAGTTACAAAAAGTTTTTTTACCTAAAATTTCGTGGGGAGAAGGGGGTGCGGACTATGTACCACTGCGAACTATACAAGCCTTTCTACGGTAGGCTATTTATAGAAAGGACAATAACGGATTCCATAGATTGATTGTTGGTGTTTAATGACACATTTTTTTTCATGGAAGGAGACTTAGTACCCAGAGATAACCACAAAACTCGTAAGGAATACAGGCAATCCTACATGATCCGAGTCAAAAGCACCTTGTCACAAGCAGGGTTCAAACTCACAATCCTAGCAATCATTATAGATGAACTACTTAGACCACTCTGTCACTGAAGACCATGTAGTGTACTGACCTCTATAGTCTTTAGTTTCTTTGTTATTTGTTTTAACATTTTCTGGTTCTCTACAATTTTATTTGGTTCCTTTAAATATATTCTTAAATCAATTTTTTATATAACATTCCAATGACACAGTTTTTTACAAATGACAGACAGACAGACAGTCTGTTACTTAAAATATTAAGAAGCAAAGACCACATTTACATATCATCAACATATGCTCATTCTAAATATGTTAAAAAGCTGAAATTAAACATCAATCCATCTAAAACTTGTATATATATTTTAATGTTATTGACCTAATATGCTGAGAGGTATAGTTACCATGGCATGGTTTTATGTTGACTGTGTTCACATGGGCCTTGTGCTTCAAAATAATCTGTTCTAGATAGTAAAATGTCTTCTTGTGCTTTGTCTGAAAAGAAAATAACATATATCAATAAGTAAAACTATTCTTATATAATACAAAAGATATTCATACATTTCAATATTAACATACAGAATCCAAACAATAGATTTCCCCATATACGGAAATTCAATAAATATTAGCGAAAAAAATTCTTGCTTCTCAAATTTTTCAGCCACACTGATGACCTATAAATGATTTAATGAGGGCTCTTTCAGAAATAACATACCCCACTCCACCACTCACCAAATGTAATGCCTTATTTTTAAAATATTATTAATTTCATTGATAAATCATTCCACTAGGATCAGTATTGTAAAGAAGTATAGCTTTGTGCTAAAAGACTTCTTCAGTGAGAAGACCGCTGTATTAAAGCAGTCTGTACAAAATTCTCATTTTTTTCCCCAGTATGTACATGAAATATACATCCACCATTTTCCACTGTCAATGTTTATGGTAAATACATAAGTATCTGTTAGAACCAGCAGATTTGTAGTCATTGGTACAAAAATCTCTTCATTTTACTGTCAGATGTTATAATCTGTCATTTGTGAATGCTTATAAGGGCCTCAGGGAAGATAAGTTATAAAGCCATCTGTGTAACCCTCTTAAAATAAAGTTGTTGTTGTTATAAGAAAAAGATTGTCTTACCTTCTGTCTAATTTGTACACAGGCTCGCCAGAAATCTTTAGCCTCGACTCTGTGGCAGTCGTCACACATGTGATTCTTGACAATAAATTCAACAACAAACACCTGCTGTAAAACTGCTCCATTGAGAACCTTAAATAATACAGACATATAAATAAAATGTTGGTGACGCAAAAAATAGTGGTATGACTCCTACAAGTCAACAGGAAATTACCGGGTACATGTATTTCAATCAAAAGTTAAAAGAAAATTAATCAATGGTTGTTTTTATTTTTACGAAGCTACCAATTTTTGTTACTTTTTGTGAAAATAGATTTCAATAATTATTTGATTTCATGGTTAAAATAAAGTGTTTAAATTGAACACTGAAATTTTTGGTTTACCTCTTGCAACAAGATATACTGCAAATTAAGAAATTATTGTGAGGTTTTTATTATTGGGAAAAATGCGACCGGGTGAGAATCGCAATAATAAGAACTCGCATTCTGATATCTGATACAAATATCTGTATGCAGATTATCCTGAAATCACAATAATAAATTTCGCATTTTTGTCATTTTTTCAATTATCTCAATAATGAAAGCTCACAATAAATTCTGAATTTTACAATACCAAAATTAGTACCTAACGAAAGTATTAATTTCACTGTACACAAGTGTGTATTGGTATTACATACACTTCATTTTGAACTTTGGTGGATAGTAGTCTCATTTGGCAATCATACCACATCTCCTTATTTTCATATTGGTAATTGGTAAATTTCATGAGATTTATTGCCAATATGCTATGTTGTGAAAATAGCTTATTTTCTTAGTTACAAAGGTGAGTATCAGGAATATTGTGGATTCATTCCATATTATTCATAGGGTACCAATTTTTGTGGATTTTGTGGGTATAGGTAAATCAAAAATTTAAATGTTCAAACAAGGATGAATTTTATATATGAGAGTTTAACAAACCTCTTTCTGTTCAGTTCATTTAGTTTTAATTCTCTGTAAATTAGATATTTCTGAACTAAGTTTAACAAACCTCTTTCTGTACTGTCAATTTAGTTTTAATTCTCTGTGAATGAGGTTCTGTCCAAACAAATCCTGCATCTATCAGTCTAACCTGAAACAGAAATAAGTAATTCAAATTCATCCATGGAACTCAATTATGAAGTTGTCTTGGTAAATAATTGACATTTGCCTTTATAGATAAGGGAGACTCTCTTTGATCTGTCACAAAGATGATAAGGCACAGAATATCTACTGTTATGTAATAGTTTTCCTGCAAGTCTTCCTAAATAGACAAGGTTCAATATAACATAACTTGAGTTATTTCCCTTGGCAGCCATTTTTGAGGTGTAAATGGTTAATATTCTAATTTGACTAACCAAATTGAAACATAGCGTACAAACATCTGATGAGAAATCATTCTAGATTGTAGTGATGAATTAAGCAAGGCTAAATTTAATTAAAATTGTTCTGAAGTATAGCGGTCAGTATTACAAGTTGAATTTGGCTGATTTATGAAGGAATTTGTGCCACAGAACGAGAGAGCATGGTGACAAAAGGGAAGTAACTCTTGCCCAAATTGTGTCAATCCATTGGCAGCTCACAAATATAACCTTGACAGACATTTTGTACAAATTAACAGAAACTGTGTTCTGACCTCAGACTGTGTCAGCTGTTGTGTTTATATCATTCTGGTTGTGATGTTATTTTTTAGTATCATATTGTTGGCTTCCTAAATGCTTGGTCTTGGGAACACCTGATGAAAACATCTTATGTTGGCTTCCTTAACTGATGGTCTCAAGACTGCTCGATGAAGCTTATTTTTTGACAAGTTTTGTATGTATTGTAAATGCAATCAATTGTTTTGTTTTTTTCCTTTTAAAGACAATTTGCTGATTTATGATTTCTTGAACTCGCCCTGAATATGTCTTCCTTGTTTTGTAATATATCAAGGCAATATTTATGAGTCGCAACACTTACAGTCTTAAGTCCACCAAGTTTTTTCAAACAAACAGATAACAGCTCTCTGGATTCTAGCTGTGCAGCCACCCAGTGGTTAGGAGGTTGTAAATATCTACAAGACATTATACATTATAACATACTGTCAATTCATTTATTTTCATGGATACATGTAACAATTTTCGTAGACTGAGAAAAAATTGCATTTTCATGGATATTTATAAATTTGTGGTTTTGCTATAAAGTTTGCATATATAAGTCCATATTAGTTTATAAAAATGTTTTTAGTTGAACATTTAAATTCTTTGTTTATCTATACCCACGAAATCTACGAAAATTTGTATCCCATGAATAATAATGAATCCACACTATGCTATGATGAATCAATATGTAATTAATATTTGAGTCTATAAATAACTTTATATATTTACACTGTACTAGTGAAATCAGTAAAATACGGAAAGGAATAAAGAAAAATTTTTCAAAATTTGTCTTATGATAAAAAGAGCATCATGAAAGTTTGGCATATTTCAATTTATTGATGTTTAAAAAAAGACTTAGACCACTGCCTGAACCTTTAAGTTTATGGTGCAGACTACCAAATGTAAATTGTACTTATGTCTCGCTTCCCCCAAAAAAATATTGAAGGCTTGACAAAAATAAAATCATTTTAGCTACCTACTTTCCCTATTTTTTCTACCAAAGAACAGGAAACAAGTTTATACTTTTTCTGGGGCCTAAGCTGCTGGGAAAAGTAATCATAGACCACTATAGACATTAATATAATACAAACCTTTCACAATTCCTACAGAAATACAACACACCCTGTTTGGGAATACCTTCTGTTATATCAACTTGTGTTCTAAGACAAGCTACACACATGTTGGAAGGATTTGGTTCTATCTGTGTCCCACATTGACAACATAATCTGGAACAAATAAACAAACATAATATTCAAATTATTCTTTATTACTAAGGTCCTTTCAAAAAATTTAAATGATGAAGCGGTCATCCATGGTCATTGACTTTGTGCATCATTAATCACTAAGCTTTGTCGAAACATTTCAATAAAATTGAGAATGGAAATATGCTTTTACTCAGACAAAACTCTGATTCACTTATTTAGATGTCATTGGAAGTTGACTCCTGTCCTAAGTCAGGAATCTGATTACAGTAGTTGTCGTCTGTTTATGTAGTTCATACGTGTTTCTCGTTTTTATATAGATTAGACCGTTGGTTTGAATGGTTTTACACTAGTAATTTTTTGGGGCCCTTTATAGCTTGCTGTTCGATGTGAGCCAATGCTCTGTGTTGAAGGCCGTACCTTGACCTATAATGGTTTACTTTTATAAATTGTAACTTGGATGGAGAGTTGTCTCATTGGCACTCATACCACATCTTCCTATATCTATCAAGTATTGAGTACTGTTTATGTTCAATGTGTCTTTATTAGGATTTTTGTGAAAATTTCTGATGATAACAGTCTGTGCCAAAAACTTTTTTAACAACTAGACCATTGAGCTAGTGGCCTAGTTACGTCTACTAGACCGAACCAATTTTCACAAGATCGAAATTTCAAGAGAAATATAAGATTTAAACGAATTGTATATCACTAAATACATTTATTCCTCATATTTGAGGTGTGCATAATTTTTTTTTATTCCATATTTATATGTGAAGACAAGGAAAGATGAATGTTGGGTTTCCCCATACATGTGAAAATCATTAAGGCCCATCAGGCAGGAAAAACTTTACATTTCATTTTATTTTTTAAATCAGTTTCACTATACAGAGAATATTGTTGTTAACCCGACAGTAAATTCTTGTTTTACAATGTTCTATCTTGTGGTATAACATGTTAAAGCTTTTTAAACTTAAGGAATGATAATTGAGCAATGTTGACACACTTTTCAGAGATTATCAGACAATTTTAAAAAGCATCATTGAAAATTGTCAAAAGAAACCAGAGCAACTTTTTTTATCTGCACAAAAATTTTTTTTTTAAAAATTGACCTGGAAGGTAAAAATTGACAGGCAGGGCAAGGGGAAACCAACAATAATTTTTGCATGGCCCGATTCTGACAAAATATTATTTTGTATGTTTTTTATGCACATCATTTTGAAATAAAACGAAGTCCAATTCCTGCTTTATATCAAACTATATATCCTGATCAGAAATCTTTGGAGGTATCTGAATCCTGAGGAGCAATAGACTATTTTGATATAACAGACTTTTGATTCTGAATTATATAATTTTTCAACAGGTTACCTACTCTGAGGTAGGACTTCATGGTACTCAGTCAAGTGATAGCAACCAACAGACATGACAGAAGCAAAATCAAACATATAATCAGTCAGGGGACTTACTTAAATGAGTGATTTTCTAAATCACTGATTCAAGTAACAGTATGTCCATAAAGGTTGGAAGTAAGAGTTGTCTTTCTAATCTTTAATAATCACATATTTAAGAAGTACAAATTGAGCACTAGACTAAGTGATTTTAATTTTATTGTAGCTTTAAATATATAATACTAATGATCCAGGGACTAATTATGTTGCTAAAATTATCAGATTCAACATCTGTGTTGATAGGATGAACGGGTCATGTCAGGTGATGACCTTGTACTAAATCTAGGATAATGACATAAAAATCACTTATTTAAGTATCATACCTCAATTTCCTTCCAAAAAATCACTTCTTTAAGTATCATTATTTTAATAACCCCCACTAATTTTAACACCCCCAAACAGTGAAATTTTTATCGCGAACAGTAGAATTTTATTACATAAAATTGAGAATGGAAATGGGGAATATGTCAAAGAGACAACAACCCAACCATAGAGCAGACAACAGCCGACAATAGATTATAAGATGAAACGTTGAATTTTACAGAAAAAATACTCCCACTGCTGGGAAAAATCTGTTTAGAAAGTATCAGTTCATTATGTAAAGCCATTTTTATAGCATTTTTTCAACTAAAATAGAATTTGCAGCTAAATGATTGCATCAAAGGCATAAACCTTGCTGCTTAAAAGAAGCAAAAAGTTCATTTTTTTTGAATTTTACTAATAAAAAGATATTAACTAAACCTATGTGTTTAAAATTTTGGTAAAACTACAAAATCCCAATTTGTAACAAAACTTCATATTTGCTACTTAAATAAGTGATTTAAAAATCACTTATTTCAATAAGTCCTCTGACTGATAATCAGTGCAAATTTATGGAGGGGGAAATTTGCTGCTTCCCGATGATTTTGTTGTCTATAGAAAACAAGAAACTGTCAATTTTCCCCAAAAATTTGTATTGATTGCAAGCTTGATTTTATTTCTTTAAGTTGCCCTTACTTGACCAAGTACCAGGATGTCCTACCATAAATTAAGTAACCTGTGAAGAAAAATATCAACTCTGGACATGCTGGATTCAAAAGTCGGTTAAAATGAAAATAGTCTATTAATGAAAAGTTTGTAATGGTGGGTAGGTTGTATCTGGATCCAATTCACAAGGAGGAGTTACAATGTATTCTGTGTATTTTCTGATTTTCTTATTTGCCACCTCCTAAGACCAAATCGGAAAATTGCTCCAGACACAGAAATTCCTAAAAGGGAAAAATTACGATAAAATAAAATGTATTTTTAAAAACCACTATTAAGTACAAAAGGGCATATATCTATATAATTTGCAGAAACTTTTCCCAATGAGCAATACTTTTATATCTGGTGTTATATTGACAAAACATGTTTATGAATTTTGGAATATTCATTATTATTGAAAATAAGTTAATTAAATAAGAAGAGCACCCCTCTTTTACAGGTTTGGGAAGATCCTCATAAATGGATACTATCCTCAGTCATAAATGGATACTATCCCCATTTATGGATATTATACCCATAATCGGGTATAGTGATAAAAAATTAAAATTTTATATTTCATCCTGATAGCTGCCATGCCCATGGCATAAATATTCATGTAAATGGCAACATTTTTCTCTTTACCTTGTTACTTAAAGTATAAGACCATAGTTCAAATGAGAAATGAATACAAAGATAATGGCCTCCAAAAATCCTACTTTGTGAAGGCTGTTAACTTTTATCCTGATGATATTTCAGTCATGGTGTCTTTTGGGGGTCCAAACCTGCGAAAGCTCAGGTGCCTGAGGTTTATAACCCGATGGCGATGATCAAAAAGGTTAAAGCTAACTTCTGAGACTTTCTGACAATTAACTTACATAAATCCAGTTGTACCCGGTTTGTTTTCAAACGTGTATTCCATTACGATAAACTCAAAACAATTGTTTAGTTGTTAAAAGTGTGACCATGTGGTGAAATCGAAAATGACGTTTGACCGGAAATTCTTTGAAATGAGTAATTTACAAGTCTAATGACGGTGATTTAATTTCCGTGTCTGTCGTTCATTGTCACACAGTCCACGTGAAATTTGCAAGTAAATGAGGATATTTTCATTGAACTCAAAAGAAAATATCTGAAATGCTTATATGTACAAGGGAACTGTTGATAAATAATTCAATATAGTTTTATTCTTTTCCCACTTCTTAGTTCATCCCTTATTAGTTAGAGTTGTCAAAATGTAAAAAAATCTTCAAAAAAATATTTGAAAATTCAGTTTAATAATTATAAATTTAAAGTACTTCTCTTATACATAAAATAGACTATAAAATAAAATTTAATAAGATATGATCTAATCAAATTTATTTAGAAATATATCAAATGTCAAACTTGACCATGTCATTTTGCTTAGTTTCTTTAGTTACCTATTCTGACATCGGACTCGGGCTTCTTTTAAACTGAGTTTTAATGTGCGTATTGCTATGTGTTTCTTTTTTCTACATTGACTAGAGGTATAGGGGGAGGGTTGAGATCTCACAAAACATGTTTAACCCCGCCGCTTTTTTGCGCCTGTCCGAAGTCAGGAGCCTCTGGCCTTTGTTAGTCTTGTATGTTTTTTAATTTTAGTTCATTTATATGTTTTAGAGTGAGAGGGAAGTGAATCGTAACCCTTGGCTAGCGAAGATGATATTTTTGCTGCATATTCTATATTCTGTCTGTCGTGTGGAGCCTTTGCCTTCTTCGTGATATTACCAATGTGTTTGTTTCTAACATTGATTAGATTTTAATTTCACGAGCAAGATGTCTTTCCTATGGTGGCCGGATGCGGCCATTTCGCGTTTTCGCGTTTTCTCCTGTCACTTTCAAGCGAGACAAGAAATCGGGAAATCGGGAAATCGAGAAATCGAGACATCAAGAAATCGTGAAATCGAGAAATCGAGAAATATAGAAATCGGGAAATTGGGATATCGAGAAATGGAGAAATCGGGAAATCGAGAAATCGAGAAATTGAGAAATCAAGAAAGCGAAAACGAGAAAACGCGAAGGCGAAAACGCGAGCGTTTTTGCTTTCTCGCTTTCTCGATTTCCCGATTTCTCGATTTCGCTTTCTCGATTTCGCTTTCTCGATTTCGCTTTCTCGTTTTCCCGATTTCTCGATTTCGCTTTCTCGATTTCTCGATTTCCCGATTTCCCGATTTCGCTTTCTCGATTTCCCGATTTCTCGATTTCTCGATTTCTCGATTCTCCGATTTCTCTATTTCGCGTTTGCAAAGTGAAAGGAGAAAACGCGAAAACGCGAAATGGCCGCATCCGGCCACCATACTTTCCATCTATGCAGAGTATCAATGTCTTGTTGTAGTTGTTTAACATCTTTTATACCGTTTATATTACGGTACAATAGGGCAAGGCAATTCCACAAAAGGTCTGGCCGTTGAAGATATATTCTGTGAATGTCGTAAACAAAACAAGAAATAAGAGAGGACCCAGAATTGTTCCTGCAGATGGCGATGAGTGTTCCGTAGTGTCTCAAATTGGTCAGCAGTGTAGGAAGCATAAATTAAATTATCTGTTGTTGGGTAGCCAACTATATGTTCTAGTGCTGCAACCTTTAGGACTGACACGATACTCTCATATAACTCCTTAGTTCTTTTACATCTTGCCTTTGATGTTGTTGTTCTCCAAGTCCACGTGCACATCAGGCACGTTTATGTCTCCGCATACCAATATAGTCTTCTTTAGGATATTTATGCTGACATCACGGATTGTATCTCCAAGTGAATTTGCATAATCTTCGTTTGTGTTTGTTGGGCGATATACATATGTTATTATTGGTGATATCTAATGGTTGCTGAATTCAATACTTTACATTTTGTTTTTAATTCTATCTGTTGACGTGTTCTTTATTTGTAAACTGTTTTTTCTCTTTCGTTTTAATTGATCTTGAGTGCTATGTATGGATCTTTTTTCAATAAAATGATAAGAGTCAAATCAAAATCATGTTTTATTCCATTTCTTGCGGGTTTTTTTTTATATCAAAGGTCAAAGGTCAATGTGATTTTCTCTCTCTCTCAAGATATTGATTTTGGAGAAGATCAAAGGTCTTACTTGTTTCTTATTTTGTGTTCTTGGTATTTTTTAAAGCCATAGTTTAAGTTATATATAAAAATAAGGAGGGGAGGTATGATTGCCAATGAGACAACCTATCCACCAAAGTTCAAATAAAGTGGATGTAAGCAATTATAGACAACCGTACGGCCTTCAACAATGAGAAAAACCAATACCGTATAGTCGGCTATAAAAGGCCATATGGAACTATTGACCTTCCATATGTTTTAATGTCTTGTCTATCTCTTGTCATAAAAAGGATGTTTCAATTTCAAATTTTCAATTCGGTTAAGTTTCATGGTTAGAAATTTACATAACCATTGGGTTTGAATTTGGTCGTGTCTTAGGGTTAAATAAGATCAAGTCAATTACTAATCCGCCATTTCGTGATGCCTAATCATCAACCTATTTTATAGGAGGAACACGACTGGTGCAACATTGTGGAGCAGGATCTGCTTACCGTTCCCGGAGCACCAGAGTTTTTTATGCTTTGTTTTGTAAACTGTTATATGTCTTTTGATCGTTTTTTGCCATGCCATTGTCAGTTTGTTTTCGACTTACGAGTTTGAATATCCCTTTGGTATCTTTCGCCTCTCTTTCAGTCCCACTTGCTATAGGAAAAGCATATTGATAGTATATAAAAGGTCGAATAATAGAAAACAAATTTATATTGAGAATAAAAAAGAAATATATAGAGTTCATTACCAAAATCCTAACCAATAATTGGTAATTGTTATATGTTACCAAACTTTCAAAACAATTGTTTGAAACTTTTTGAGTTTACGCTCAAAAAATAAATTTTCACTTTTCTACAACTTTTCAATAAAATAAAATCTGACTGCAAAGTTATAATTCTTGATGATTTCAATATTTGCACTAAAACCAAAATTTTACATTGTAATAATTAGCCAATCCAGTGTTGGAACCCCCCTTTTAGCTTGACAATTAATGCTTTTGCCAGTATGGGATAATATGGTTGGAACCCACCCTTTTTATATGACTTGCATGACTTTGTGTTGGAATCCCCCCCCCTTTTAAAATGTCTGGGTCCGCGCTTGTAAATAAAGCATAATTGCATAATAAAAAAGTTTCATAATTTATAACTGAGACTACTATATATTAGTATAGTAGTCTCAGTTCATAATATCATATGCCATGCAATAGAGAAGTTTTTGCATTATTAGCATGTATAATTGAATTATTTATGTGTTTTTAAAAATCATGCATAACTAATAATGGTCAACTAATCTTGCAATAAAAATGTTTATGGTTCGTATTTTTTATTTATTTTTAATTATTATTTTTGTATTTTTTGTGATTCTATTCATATAAATAGAAATGACCTCTGTGAACCGGTCTCACTAATTAGCGACAAGAAGATTTTATAGCGACAAGAAGCGTCAATTTAAGAAGCGACAAGAAGTACAATTCAGAAAACAAAATTAGCAGCAAGAAAGTTTATATTCTAATAAAAAATATAAATTACTAGAAAAAAAGTCAATACATTATAATTCTTATATGATTTGCATACTAGGGAATACGTTGATATGATTGGTCGAGAAGACATCCGGTAGTTGATCTTGACGTTGTTTATTTTTCGATAGACGACGTTGACCGAACTTCTTTTCGTAACCAATGTAAACAAGATGGCGGCGACAATAACACCGACGTTAACAAAATTTATTTTCTATGCACGTTAATCGTTAAATTAAAAATTAAACACAAAAACATTCGTTTGGATGATAATAAGAGTTTTTGTAGTTTATTTTTAATCAGATAGCAAATTTCATGGAGTACATATTTTTGCGTTAACCAACAAATATATTCGTGCGCCAGGCCTATTCAATGACACAAATATACAACTTAATTACGTGTGATAGAGGTTACGTGTGTGGAAAAATATATTCCTTATCTCCAATTGTAAAGAATTATAAGGATTAAACGCCTTTTTAAAGGAATTTATTGGTGTATAAACTCGACCAAGTCACTCACAAACAAATAAAAGTCCTTTAAAGGAATTTATTGGTGTATAAACTGGACCAAGTCACTCACAAACATATCATAAAAGTCCTTCGGACTTTTATTTGTTTGTGAGTGACTTGGTCGAGTTTATACACCAATAAATTCCTTTAAAAAGGCGTTTAATCCTATAATAGTTGATTATTTTGATGGTTTATAAAGTTTTAAATTTTATATTATAATTAGCACCGATTTTCTGATAAAAATGCAGGTTTTTCTATCATTTGATATATATTAGATATTCGGAAATCAAACGTTTAAGAGAAAAACGTAGTTGAAACGTGAATAAAATTAATATACATCATTTTATTTTGTGTATTGCGGCATCATTATAAGTTAGAGGGTGAGTAAAATCCATAGGAGATTCGGCCTTCGGCTTTACCCCTATGGATTTTACTAACCCTCTATGGATCCGCAGGGGGTCAGTAGTGAACCGTATAACGAATTTATCGCACGCGGGACTTTTCCTGCTGCGTTTTGTAGAAGAAGAAAAAAAAACAATGAAATACAACATCAATAGATGACGTCACCATTACCAGTAGACGTGACATCATGAACCCCATATGAAAACTTACCCCCTACGAATCCATAGGGGTCACCACGTGACGGACTTTTCCTGCCGCGTTTTGTAGAAAAATAAACAATGAAATACAACAACATCAACAGATGACGTCTCCATTAACAGTAGACGTGACGTCATGAACCCCCTATGAAATTTACTAACCCCTTACGGATCCATAGGGGGTCACCACGTGACGGCGTTTAACCAATTAAGGGGGGAGGGGGGTAGGAGGGGTCCTGATCCCGAAATCCCGGGCTTAAAAACATGCGGAATCCCGAGGTCCCGAATTTAAAAAAATTAAAATCCCGACATCCCGAAATTCGAAAAAAAAATTCCCGGATCCCGAAAGGATCAATCCCGAAATCCCGAGCTTAAAAACACATGATTCCGGAGTCCCGATAAAGGTCCTATCCCCCCTCACCAATCACAACGTCATAATTTGCCCGCGGTGCGATAATGAACGATATCTATTTAAGGAATGACTGTAATATTTTTTCTGTCTATGAAGAAATAACATCAAAAATGTGGTGCACACTGAATAACCCGCGTAGCGGGTTATTTTAAAGTGTGCACCACATTTTTTATGTTATTTCGAATAGACAGAAAAAATATTACAGTCATTTCTTATAATTTAATTCTAAATTCCATTTTAAACCGGAGTAAACCATGAAAAATCGTTGATGACGTCACGGTCACATGACAAAATTATGTCTATGAGCTAATAAACAAAACAACGTCAGCCAATCAGAAGACGCGTTACATCCAAAATTAAATTATTAAGGTTTAATGTTGATTGAAGATTAAAAATAATTTTTACAAATGTTTAATTACTGATCATTACTTCACCTATCAGTATAATCTGGGACATAACAGTCCCAGGTATAATCGAGGATTTATATAGATCTAGTAAATAATATGAATCCATGGTATGACGAAAAAATGAAAATCACTTTATTACACATATTTTTTTTTTTCGCTTAATTCGTCTTCTTATCGCTTCTTGACTCTCTTTGTCTCTAATTAGTAAAATAAAGATATTTGTATTTGTCATTGACACCGAATTCTCTAAATAACAAAATCTTCAAAAAAAGTTTCAAGATTTTGTTTTACTTTTTCCGCGGGAATGAAGTATAAACTGGTTGCTTTTTTTAAGACGGATTTCTTCGTTAACTCATTCATATTTTACAGTTTGGAAGGTCCAGTTTACATTGCACACGACACTAAAATCATGATGGTACTGTAGTTTCGTGTGCAATGCATTGTGAACGGACATTTTGTGGAATAAACTGAAAGTGCAAAATAATATAGGTCAGCTTTCAAGCTTTTCTTACAAATTTTACATATGCAATGACCAACTTTGTAGTCTATCATCATTATACGATAAATGCAAATTTGTAGAAGACTGATACTTAATATTACGATGTCTGCGTATCGGTACAGGGCAGAACAAATGTAACATGCAATAGTGGTCAGCATGCAGCAAAATAGCATACGTAATACGTTGTACACGGTGACGCTGTCGTTTCGATCGAAGCATAAAACAGGGGGAACATGCAGTCTGTTCCTCCTTCGTCAGTTTGTACACAATTCTTGTGTCCACGAATATTCTATTAGTAACTCAAAAAACTTGAAATAGCCTTTCAAGACGTCATAATTATTTGGACAAGGGACTCAACCATTTAAATCTGAAAGAGGGGGGTTTCTGATTCCCAATTTGAAGAACAAATATTTTAATCAAAGAGAATGAAAAAAAAAATATTTTGATTGAGAGTTTTTGCCACTAAATTTGATGTTAAGTTCTGAAAAAAGTTTATGATTAAAAAATAACCATTACACCCTTAAACTTTAAATTTATTGGCAAAAACTGTCTTATCCTCGTCTCATGGGTTTTCGTGCTATTAAGAATGCCTTAAAAGTGACGTCATAATTTCCATTGCAAAAGCATTAGTACGAATTAATATGACGTACGAAAACATATATGATCTGACGATAAATTAAGTTTGTCTGCTTAAGGCATAGTTAGTTTTAGATCGTTTCCAACTGGACCAAATTACTACTTTACCTAAAACATGAACAAATTCATGGAGCACAATTTTTTTTACATGTTATTTAACTGGCCTTACTATTTTATGCATAAAATATATAAGGACAAACATTTGGAAGGTGAATGAAAAAACAGTGCAAGTAAAGTCCAACTCACAGTGCGCACTAGACACTCTATTTGCCGCCAACTAAAATCAAAGGACAACAACTGTGTCCCTGGATAATTTCTGGAAGGGTTCATCTGTTACAGTCTGTAGTTCTATAACATTGTTGTATAACCGTATACAATTTCAATATTTAACATGACATTATTAAGCATAACTTAGTTTTTTTCTTACTTGACTTATGAATTTTAAGTATTTTAGAAAAGAAAGAATAAGTCCCGGTATCCATCCATTGACACAAAATCAGTACATGCACAATAAAAATACACAAAAAGCAAAGGCACAGAGCTTTTACTGCTGTTCTTCATCTTAGTGAAGCCTTCAACAGCGAGCAAAAACTCTCACAATACTGCAAGTTTAAGACGGCCCCAAGCACCAGTTTGAGTATTAGGTGAAATTTTTGTTAATAAGGGTCAAAGTTAAAGTTGTTTTTCATATCTTCAAAAAAAAAACTATCGCTTTATAAGTGCATTAAAGGTCCCATAATATTAACAGCAATTGTATGTGTTTTACACCAGCAATACCAAAATTATAATCTTATCTAATATCTATATATACACACATATTTGTAAAAAACATTATTAAAAAATCAAATAAAAAACCATTACCATAGATTAGTTTAGCAACTATAGGTGACTGTTACATGTTGTATGGCCTTCAACACTACTGAAAACTATAGGTCACTGTACATGCTGTATGGCCTTCAACACTGCTGAAAACTATAGGTGACTGTACATGCTGTATGGCCTTCAACACTGCTGAAAACTATAGGTGACTGTACATGCTATATGGCCTTCAACACTGCTGAAAACTATAGGTGACTAAACATGCTGTATGGCCTTCAACACTGCTGAAAACTATAGGTGACTGAACATGGCCTGTATGGCCTTCAACACTGCTGAAAACTATAGGTGACTGAACATGCTGTATGGCCTTCAACACTGCTGAAAAAGGCTCCCACACGACAAAATGTTAAACAATTCAACTACAAAATCAACTTCCTACTAACAAAAAACAAAATAAACCTTGTCTTTTTATTGCAGGTTCGTTTGATAGAAAGGCAGAATGATTCCTACAAAGGGTGATATTGTTTACAGATTTCTGATTTCTACAATGAGAAACAGAATTTAGAGGGAAAATGGCAAGCAGCCATCATTTATTACCCTTAGCAGATTATCTCTATAAACTGTACAAAAGTCAATCTCTATGTGATCTGTCTATTATTACAAAGAATGGTACAACGGTTCTGGCTCACAAACTGGTAGTGGCAGCATTTTCTGATGCAATTAGGGCAGAGGTGGAGAAATGGAAAGATCCTTCCAAGGTCTCCATCGTTGTAGGTAAGATCAAATATACAAAAAATGAAAACAACACTTTATAAATTTCATGCATCCAAAGCACATTTCTGGATTTACCTAATCAGGAATGCTCAATGCCAATTGTTTGAAAGCCAAGGAAGTATATGAACTGTTGAGCTATATGATGACCAAAAAAGAGCTATAAAAATAATAGCCAAATCCATCTATATAAGTCGTAATTGTCTTAGATCTTTTAAGAATTCACCAAACAAGTTCAATACTCATCCATTCACAGAAATAAATCTTGAAAGCACCAGTAAAATTTTGTGTAAATTCTTGAAGAAATATTGATATACTCTGGATTCATTTATTTTTCATGGACATGATGGATAGAGGAATAAATCTACTTTCCTGGATATCTGAATTCATGGTTTTGCCAAAATTTCCATCGTTGTTAACCTATGACCCAAAATCAACGAAAATTGGTACTACGTACCCCTCGAATTAAAAGTGAATCCACACTATAACACTTGAAAATTGTAGAAATTTTAAGGTAATTTGCTGGAATAAATAAAAACACATTTGTGATTGCCTTACCAGAAAACTTGTTTGAATGATTGTTTTTCTTTAAGTCATCAAAAACAGTTTTCTGTTATTTTGATGATCCATACACATGATGCAACAACAAAAACGTCAAGGAACAGGTTAAAAAAATATTATTTTTTTTTAATTTTTAGAAGGATAAAGACAAAGGAATTAATCCCGGTTGATATCCTCCAAGCAATCAATTAGACTTTTTTAGTCAATGTTTCAGATTATGGATGTACCACATCCTGACTTGACTAGTAAGAAGAACCCTTTCGCAAGATACCTGAAGCGCTTTTTTGAATTTACGTTCATGAGTAACAAATATTTGAAAGCAAAGGATGTATAAGAACTGAAACAGTTGAACAGCTATATGACTAAAAAGGACCTAAGATAGTAGCCAAATCCATCTAAGGTCAACTTTGCCTGAGGGTGTTGAAATCTTAGTCATTTTAGTTTTATAATTATTTCTAAATTTATTAACAGACTATTTCAGAAAGGTTTGTTGTAAAATATTATGTCAGTACCTAGTACTGACTACTTAAAAGAGGGACGAAAGATACCAGAGGGACAGTCAAACTCATAGATCGAAAACAAACTGACAACGCCATGGCCAAAAATAAAAAGACAAACAGACAAATAATAGTACAGATGACACAACATAAAAGTACAGGTAGTTAATTGCGTTTGAAAATTCTATATACTGTATAAATGTTTCATACTTAAAAAGTTAATTTTTTTAACAGATTGTGAAACTGCAGTTTTAAAGGAAATTTTAGATTTTGTGTATATCGGCAGCTGTCATCTCCATAAAGAGTTGTTTCCCCTGCTACAGCATGCTAGTCATAGTTTACAAATACCATCACTACAAAAATATTTAAAAGAGAAAGGGCCTATCTCAAGAAGGTCATTACGAAAAAGTCAGTCAGAGGCAAAACAGGAAAGGGAGGTAACTAAGGCTATACCAAATGGTGAAAATTTGAGATGTAGAAGAAATAAAAAAAAAAATAAAGCATATGACCATGAAAATTTTGAATGGTCTGCTGATGTAGGGGAACATGATGATGATTGGGTACCAGGTGATGATGATTTGGTACCAGGTGATGATATTCCAACTGTTGATGAGGATGAAGATAATGATGGTGATGCATTATGGGAAGATGGAATGGGAGTTAGTAATGAGCCTTGGACCAGCATGAGAAAGGGTAAATTTAGGAAACCAGACAAATCAATCAAACAGGCTTATGTGAGGTTAGAAAGAATCGATGCTTCTGTAAAAAACACAATTCTTAACAACTCCTTAAGGAATACAGTCCTAAACAATACCTTTAGGAATGCAGTCGTAAACAATGGTTTAGGGCATAAGGTAAAAAAATCCTTGATTCCAGTGAAAGAGAGAAGGAATAGATATACAAGGGAAAATTTAACAAACCTTGCAAAGAAGAAACAAACTAGAAATAAAAAACGTCATCCACTGATGATTCATTCAAAACATTCAATTGAAAAAATTAAACATTCCATGAACAATCTGAAGAAGAAGAGTCCTGCAAAATTGCTAGCTTGTAAACTTGAGAAACTATATGAAAAACACCATAAAGATATACAGGTCAAAACAGAAGGATATTCTTGTAAAATCTGTAACATTTGGCATAAAAATATCTCTCATATCAAATTCCACATTAATGTGAAACACAGAAACATACAACCTAGAAAAAGGAAATCTACAAACATGACAAAAAGGAAATGTTCATTTGAAGAAAGAAAGAAAAAAATTGAGAGAATTAAACAAAAAATTCTGAAATGTGAATGCTTCAGATGTGACAGAACTTACAAATTGGTGCGTGGATTAGCTACCCATCTAGTGCAAAAGCACAAAATTTCTTTTGAAAGAGCTCAGAAATTGACCGGCTATCCAAAATATTTTAAATACCAGAATTCAATAGCCCAGACATGTGATGAATGTAAGATGGAATTTAATACTTTAAATGACTTTAGAGCACATTGTCGCATAGTTCACAAGAAAAAACGTTTAGCACCTGATATTCCATGTACAGTCAAAAAATGTTCCCAAAAATTTCTAATAATGGGAAAATTGAAAGAACATTTAGTTAAATTTCACAAACAAAAGAATGTCAGTGTAAACTGTAGGCAAGGCAGTGTCAGGGAATCATCAAGAGTTGACAAACATGACAAACATGACATAACAACACGGCTACAGAAACAGAGAAGCCTCCTAAAAGATTTATCTGTGTCCAGTAAAGAAAAACGAGTCGAAAGGAAAAAAGAAGAAAGATTTATAAAAGAAATTAATAAACTATCTGAAATCACTGAAAGTCAAAGTTCATCGTATAAGAGGAAGAAAATCAAGTACAATGTTATATTGCCATCAAAGAAATACAGGTGTAATAGATGTCCCAAGTCGTCAGTCTGTAGAAATAAGTTAATACATAAAAATCATAGAGAAATAAGACACAAGAAAATATTTGTTTCAAAATGTTTTGAAAGCCAACTAGTTCTGAAGAAACATATTTGTCAGAGTTTTTCAAATGTAAAGTTTGTAAACAAAGCTTCAAATAACTTGACACCTAAGTCGAAAGAAGATGTCTCCCAAAAGACTAATGCAACCCATATTGGTGTTGCAAGAAGGGAATCAAATGTTTTAGTACGGGAAGAAATGCCTGCTGAAGTTGAAGGTTTTAGACATTCCATAACAAATGAACACAATTCTGTTGAATTGTTATCATTCCAGACGCCAAATATTACCGGTCAAATTGGCGGGCATTTATCACTGCTGCAAGATTCAGCCTTAAGTGGACAAAATGGGTTATTTGAAACCAGCAAAAGTGACTTTCCTGGATCCTTGCTGAATCAGAGTAATGGAAAACAGAAAAGGTGCAAAAGAAACCGGATTACTTGTTTGAAATGTGGATTATCTTTTCAATACTACAGCAGTGCTTCCTTGCACTTTAAGAGAAAACACCAGAAACATCACCTGGGACAGAGAACTATCTTCTGTAGTCTTAAAAAACATGTAAATTTACGCAGTGTTTTATTTTCCAGAAAATCATTCTTGAAAACAAGTACATTCCAGTTACAATTTGCTGAAGAAAGGGCAACAACTTGCGAAATATGTGAAAAAACATTTTCTCATGTTAGCAGTTTAGCCCGTCATTTGCAAAATACCCATTGTCATACTTTTGAACAGACACGAAAAACTACTGGTTACCCATGCAAAGTTGTCAAGAAAAAAGAGGATATAACTTGTATAGATTGTAAGAAAACTTTTACCAATCTTCGTAACCTAGCAACTCATCTACAAAATGTTCATAAATATACATTTGAACAGGCAAGGGAGGCAACTGGTTATCCATCTTTTACCAGAGTTTCAGAAACATGCAAGAAGAAGATAACAAAATGTGAGAAATGTTCTGAGATATTTCCAACAATGAAAAATTTCAAAGCTCATGAACTTGTTGTACATGGTATACCCTGTAAATTCTGTGGCGAGAAGTTTATTCACCTAGTTTCGCTGAAGAAGCATGGGGTACGAGAACATCCAGAAAATTTTGATGACTTTGAAGAGATGAAGGCTACAACTAATGCCTGGATTATTGATGAAGAGGAGAATGAAAATACAGCAGATGATATTTACAAATGTGACAATTGTGATTTTTCAACAAGAAAATTAAATCTTTTGACAGTACATGTTATGGAATTGCATCCACAAGTCCAGCATCATTGTCCTGTATGTGGCTATTCATTCCGTAGTCAATACTCTGTTGATTTACATATGTCCAAACACCATGGTGAAGCAGAGAAGAAGAAACCTGTCTGTATATTTTGTAGTAAGAAGTTTCTGAGAAAAAGATTTTTGAGAATACATCAGTTCAAGGCTCATGGGATTCTTCACCCAGATGTTAAGGTATTTACTTTATATATAAAATATGAGGGTCTGGATAGGGTTAACAGAATAGAGAATATTGGGCCAATACTACAGAAAAATGGCCCCAAAAATAGGAATAGAGAAAAATATGCCAAAAAAGTAGAGAATAGAGAATAATGAGGTGATAAAATATAAAGAATAGAGAAGAATGGGCGAAACATATAAAGAATAGCGAAAAATTACCTTAAAATTTAAAAATACGGAAAGGAAAAACCCCATCCAGACCCTCAAATATTGATATTTATACAGGTTTATAATATCACAGAAATATCAGTTATATTCTGATGTCAGAAGAGAAAATGTCTGACTCCACTGAGCAAAAGTGATTGTTGTATGTATCAATATGCCAAAGAGAGGCAATAATACCAAAGGGATATTCAAACTCATAAGTGGATAAGACATACTGACAACGCAAGTGAAAAAAAAACCGACCAAAAGACAAACAAAAGTCTACATAACACAACATAGAAAACTAAAGACTGAGCAGAAGTAAACCCTTCTAAAAAACACGGGTGGTCTTATTTGCTCCTGAAGGGTACGCAAATCCTGCTCCACATGTGGCCTCTATTGCGTTGCAAATGTAAGTACAAATTCGGTGTCAAGTTAAGCAAAATGTAAAATCTGGTGATGCAGACCAAATAACAATAAGGTTTGTTGCTTTGATTCTTCGATTCTTCATAAAAATAGGTTCTTTTTAGTTCACCTGGCCCAAAGGGCCAAGTGAGCTTTTCTCATCACTTGGCGTCCGTTGTCCGTCGTCCTGCGTCCGTAAACTTTTACAAAAATCTTCTCCTCTGAAACTACTGGGCCAAATTTAACCAAACTTGGCCACAATCATCATTAGGGTATCTAGTTTAAAAAATGTGTCCGGTGAACCGGCCAACCAACCAAGATGGCCGCCATGGCTAAAAATAGAACATAGGGGTAAAATGTAGATTTTGGCTTATATCTCTGAAACCAAAGCATTGAGAGGAAATCTGACATGGGATAAAATTGTTTATTAGGTCAAGATCTATCTGCCTTGAAATTTTCAGATGAATCGGACAACCTGTTGTTGGGTTGCTGCCCCTGAATTGGTAATTTTAAGGAAATTTTGCTGTTTTTGGTTATCATCTTGAATATTATTTTAGATAGAGATAAACTGTAAACAGCAATAATGTTCAGCAAAGTAAGATCTACAAATAAGTCAACTTGACCAAAATGGTCAGTTGACCCCTAAAGGAGTTATTGCCCTTTTATAGTCAACTTTTAACAATTTTTCGTAAATTTTTATCTTTTACAAAAATCTTCTCTGAAACTACTAAGATGAATTTAACCAAAGTTGTAAACAATCATCATTAGGGTATGTAGTTTAAAATTGTGTCTGACATGGCTAATAATAGTACATAGGGTAAAATGCAGTTTTTGGCTCATATATCTAAACCATTTCGAGCAAATCTTTCAAAAACAAAATTGTTCATAAGGTCAAGATCTATCTGCCCATAAATTTTCAGACCATTCAGGCAACCTGTTGTTTGGTTGCTGCCCCTGAATTAGTAATTTTTAGAAATTTTTTCAGCTTTTGGTTATTATCTTGAATATTATTATAGATAGATATAAACTGTAAACAGCAATAATGTACAGCAAAGTAAGAGCTACAAATAAGTCAACATGACCAAAATGGTCAATTGACCCCCTTAAGGAGTTATTGCCCTTTATAATCAATTTTTATACGACCAAAAAAAAAAATTTTGTGGTCGTATATTGGTATGACGTTGGCGTCGTAGTCATCGTAGTCATTGTCGTCGTCGTCGTCCGAAGACACATTGGTTTTTGCACTCTAACTTTAGTTTAAGTGAATGGATCTCTATGAAATTTTACCACAAGGTTCAATACCACAAAAGGAAGGTTGGGATTGATTTTGGGGGTTATGGTACCAACAGTAAAGGAATTAGGGGCCAAAAAGGGGCAAAAAAATAAGCATTTTTGTAACTTCCAGACATAACTTGTGTGTTAGTGTATGGATCTCTCTGACATTGTACCACAAGGTTCCATATCACAAAAGGAATGCTGGGATTGATTTTGGGGGTAATTGCCTCAAAATTTTAGGAATTAGGGGCCAAAAAAGGGGCAAAAAACAAGCATTTTTCTAGTTTCATGACAATAACTTGTGTGTAAGTGAATGGATCTTTCTGAAATTGTACTACAAGGTTCCATATCACAAAGGGAAAGCTGGAATTGAGTTTGGGGGTAATTGCCGAAACGTTTAGGAATTGGGGGCCAAAAAGGGGCCAAAAATAAGCATTTTTCTAGTTTCCATCAATAACTTGTGTTCAAGTGTATGGATCTCTCTGAAATTGTACTGCAAGGTACCATACCACAAAGGGAAGGCTTGGGTTGATGATGGGGGTAATTGCCTCAATATTTTAGGAATTAGGGGCCAAAAAGGGGCAAAAAACAAGCATTTTTCTAGTTTCAGGACAATAACTTGTGTGTAAGTGTATGGATCTCTCTGAAATTGTACTGCAAGGTACCATACCACAAAGGGAAGGCTGGGATTGATGATGGGGGTAATTGTCTCCATATTTTAGGAATTTGGGGCCAAAAAGGGGCCAAAAAACACATTTTTCTAGTTTCCAGACAATAACTTGTGTTCAAGTGTATGGATCTCTCTGAAATTGTACTGCAAGGTACCATACCACAAAGGGAAGGCTGGGATTTAGTTTGGGGGTGATGAATCATAAGGGGGTTCAAAAAATTTGGGGGGGGGGTTCCTTTTTTTTCTTTTTTTCCTTTTTTTTTTCTTTTAAAATTTTCCATTTTAAGTTGGTTATTTCTGATTTATATTTAAAAGCAAATAATAATGATATGGTAGGAGATACACACCAAACAGGATGTGTAAATTATTATATAATAAGTATTGTGCAATAGCAAGAAATTTTCAATTGCACAGTATTGCACAATAGCAAGAAATCTTCAATTGCACAGTATTGCGCAATAGCAAGAAATATTCAATTGCACAGTATTGCGCAATAGCAAGAAATATCCAATAGCACAATATTGCGCGATAGCAAGAAATTGTCAATTGTACTGTATTGCGCAATAGCAAGAAATATTTAATTGCACAGTATTGTGCAAAAGAAGATACTTCGTATAAATTGCTTATTTCTTAACCAATTTCAATGGGGTTTTATTCTTGAATTCTTGGGGTTCTTTAATAAGCTGAATCTAACCATGTATTTAGTTTTTGGATTTTGGGCCCCCGTTTTTAAATTGGTCCACATTGAGGTCCAAAGGGTCCAAAATTAAACGTTGTTTGATTTCATCAAAAATTGAATTATTGGGGTTCTTTGATTATGATGCTGAATCTAACCGTGTATTTAGATTCTTAATTTTTGGTTCCGTTTTCAAATTGGTCTACATTAAGGTCCAAAGGGTCCAAAATTAAACTTAGTTTGATTTTAACAAAAATTGAATTCTTAGGGTTCTTTGATATGCTGAATCTAAACATATATTTAGATTTTTGATTATGGGCCCAGTTTTAAAGTTGGTCCAAATCGGGGTCCAAAATTAAACTTTGTTTGATTTCAACAAAAATTGAATATATGGGGTTCTTTGATATGCTGAATCCAACCATGTACTGTATTAAGATTTTTGATTTTTGGGCCCCGTTATCAACTTTGTCCACATTGAGGTCAAAAGGGTCCAAAATTAAACTTTGTTTGATTTCATCAAAAATTGAATTCTTGGGGTTCTTTGATATGCTGAATCTAACCATGTATTTAGATTTTGGATATTGGACCATAATAGGTGAATGTCCAATTTAAAATTTTTAAGTTCTTAGACCACATTCATTCTGTGTCAGAAACCTATGCTGTGTCAAATATTTAATCACAATCCAAATGCAAAGCTGTATCAAGCTTGAATTTTGTGTCCATACTTACCCCAACTGTTCAGGGTTTGACCTCTGCGGTCGTATCAAGCTGCGCCCTGCGGAGCATTTTATTAACAATTTTCATAAATTTTGTGATTTTTTACAAAATAATTTCCACTGAAACTACTGGGCCAAGTTCATTATAGACAGACATAATTGTAAGCATCAAGGATGGTCAGTAAAGTAAGATCTACAAACACATCACCATCACCAAAACACAATTTTGTCATGAATCCATCTTAGTCCTTTGTTTAATATGCACATAGACCAAGGTGAGCGACACAGGCTCTTTAGAGCCTCTAGTTTCATTTTTTAGCAATACAAATGTGATGTTGATGGCTGCAATAAAATAGCTTATACAGCAACAGAACTTCGACAACATAAGAGAAACCATACTGCAGAAAAGAGATTTTCTTGTCAGCAATGTGACTTCATTTGTGCTCATAGACAGTAAGTTTTCTTTTTAGTATTGTGACTGTGTGTCACTCTGTCTTAGTGGGTCCAAAAGAAATGGTTTCCGGATGATATTTTGAATATCTCTTGCTTGATTGGTATGATACTTAAACAGTTAGAAGATATATGAATGGGGAATAAGCGAATTGATTAAGGGGTTAATAAGTCAAAGTTCAAGATCACTTACCAAAATAACAAAAATTGATTTGAGGTCAATAGGTTAAAGATAAAGGTCACTGTTACTAAAAATAGAAAAAAATCTGGAAAATGGTTTCTTGATTGTAACTGAAGTTTCCTTTGATTGATTAGAATGAAACTTATACAGATTGAAAATTTAGTGAAGGGGAAGAAGCCTATTGATTTTGGCGTCAATATGGTCAAGGTCATTGTTACTAGAAATTGTTTTTTTTTAAAGTTGGTTTTGGGATTGTATCCCACATTTAATTGTAACACATTTAATAAGGTAAAAAATTAGCAATAATACTAAGAACATGTTTATTTGTCCCTCAAAGAATATTAGTATTGTAACCCTTGAAATGAAAAGAAGTTCTCTCAATAGAATATAAATGTGCAGTTATGGAATCAGTAGTTGGCTTTTTACTTGTTAATACATGCTAGGAGAATACATTTTAAGTTAAAGCCAGCATAATGTAAGAGTTCTTTTATTATTGTGGTAGGTGCCTTCTATAATACAGAAAACCCAGTTTGATATCAATTTGACAGCTCATTCCTTATTCAGTCTCTAATTGAGACATGTTAGCAGCACACATTTACAGTTAAAGCCAGTGTTTTGTAAGAGTTGTTTTACTATTTTTCAGTCTCTAATTGAGACATGTTAGCAGCACACATTTACAGTTAAAGCCAGTGTTTTGTAAGAGTTGTTTTACTATTTTTCAGTCTCTAATTGAGACATGTTAGCAGCACACATTTACAGTTAAAGCCAGCGTTGTGTAAGAGTTGTTTTACTATTTTTCAGTCGTTTATTGAGACATGTTAGGAGTGTACATTTACAGTTAAAGCCAGCGTTGTGTAAGAGTTGTTTTACTATTTTTCAGTCGTTTATTGAGACATGTTAGGAGTGTACGTTTACAGTTAAAGCCAGCGTTGTGTCAGAGTTCTTTTACTATTTTTCAGTCGTTTATTAAGACATGTTAGGAGTGTACATTTGCAGTTAAAGCCAGCGTTATGCGAGAGCTGTGGGAAGTCCTTCACAACAGAACAACACATGAAGGAGCACATCAGACGTTACCATACCAACGATTACTATGAGTTACAATGTGATTATTGTTCATTCCAGTGCGGTGTTAAAAATCAACTTCAGAGTAAGTATAGATTTTAAAATTGTAAAGTTTCTTAATAATATAACTAATAAATGTGCTATTCTTCATGATATAGAAAATTCAGATCACAGTTGCAGTATTGGAAAAACATTGAAATTCAGAAATTTTGGCATGCGTTTATCATTTCAATTTTTGAAGAATGAAAAAAAGGTGAGATTGATCATTGAAAATTCGGTAAATAATGCATTTAAAATTTAAAATGTGATTCTTATTCAGTAGAGGGGGCCTCGGTGGCCGAGTGGTCTAAGTAGTTACTACTGTAATCACTAGCCAGTCAACACTGAGGTTGTGAGTTTGAACCCTGCTCGTGCGGGTGCACTCGACTGCAATCTTAATTGACTAGGATTGTCAGTTTTCCTATCGAAGGCCGGTAGTTTTCTCCGGGCACTCCAGCTTTCTCCACCAATAAAATCTGGCCGCCACGAAATAGCCCAAAAGCGGTGCTTAAAAGTGGCATTAAAACGCCAAAAATCAAATCATTATTCAGTAGAAATTTCGCTGTGATAAAAGCACATTGCAAAAATTCTGAATTTAGAGTAAATTATAATTAGAATACCAACAGATGAATTTTAAAAAACTAGATGTGAGACCCTTATGACACAAATACCCAACCGGCAGCAATATGGCAAAATGTGGTATGAGTGCCAATAAGATAACTCTACATCCAAGTCACAATGTGTAAAAAGTAAACAATTATAGGTCAAAGTACGGCCTGGAAAAAGTCTGGAAATGACAATTTTCATAAAACTATTGAAGTCTAAGGGCTGTATTTCTTTTTTATTTCTGAATTGATAAAATTAACATTGTACCTTTATAAAAAATACTTAAAATCTGTTAATAAATCAATATTTATTTTTTTTTAGCACATGTATGGCACCAACATAATATGAAGATGGCAGGTGACTGTCGCCAATATTACCAGTGTGATCGATGTCCATACCAAACTCCACTTAAATGTAAATTTAACAATCATATGAATGGTCACAATAACATCAGGAACTATGTCTGTGATCAATGTGATTCTAAGTTTGTTACCTCCAGTACGTTACGAACACATAAACAATGGAAACATTCGTCAAAGGAGGAAGACAAAATCTGTAGCCATTGTGGTTATAAAACTAAAACTAGCAACAAATTGAACGAGCATATAAGAGTTCAGCATCAGTTAAAAGGAGTTAAGCCTTACCATTGTACATACTGTGACTTTAAATGTGCCACCGGTGGCAACTGCCGCAAACACATCATGGCTAAGCATAAAGATCTTCCTGTCCGTTATACATGCGACACAGAATATCTGGAATTTGCCAGAATGGCAAGGAAGGAAGGCAACACTAACCCATTGATTGTCCATACTGCCAATGTTACAGACAATCAGATTGCACAAAGTCCAGCAACGTTTACACAGATAGTACCCAATTTTGAACAGCTACCACCAGCTGATCATTTAATGTTTGACCCTGTTCGATTTGAAAAACTTTAAATTTGTTGTTTGATAAATGAGATTTAGAAGAAATTTCATTATTTAATAAGTAAACTTGTTATTTTGGACTTATGGATGTAATTTGTCTAAAGTAATGAATTAAATGCTAACTTTTCAAGAATTGTTTCCTTTATCATATAGAAATAAGAAGATGTGGTATGATTGCCACTGAGACAACTCTCCACAAGAGACCAAATGACACAGAAATTAACAATTATAGGGCACCGTTTTACTATTTATTTTCCAAATTTTCTTAAGGTAGTTTTAATTAGTTGGAGACTGTGTTAACAAGAAGATTTGAAAATGTAAAAAAATGTGTTTCCTTTTACAATGTGAAGCAGCATTGAAAATTAGGATGGGATCAATTGATTGATAACGGGTTTAATTCTACCTTATGTAATAATGTTGTATTATGATTGGATGAGAGAAATGGTATTTTTCACAAATTTTCTAGATATTGAGATTTTCTTTTCTCTGCTATGTATTTGTCATTAGGGAATTCCATGTGCCGTGGTAGTTACTAGCAAATACCACAGCAGATGGGAAATACCATGTGTAAAAGTAACGCTATGTCTGAAGACCTCTAGACTTTTTGTTGAGATGGATACAAAGAACATTCGGTGGAATTAAACAACTATATCATGCTTAAAAGGGGTATTTGCCTAACAGCATTGGAAATTTGTTAACCTCTCAGCTGGTATTTTTGGAAAATACCCCTTGTAAGCATGATTTATTTGTATAAAATTTTTATTTAAAAAAAAAATTCATTTAAGTGTAATTTGTTATAAAAAATTTCATACGGTCTCCCTGTCCAATCTAATTTTCCCTGTTAGCTCTTGATGTTGTTTTTGTTTTAGTATTCACAGTAATATTGGATATATGAGTTGTTGTTTCATTGATGTTCAGTTTTTGTGCACTTCTGCAACTCTCTTTTTATTTATAATACTTTTCTAATAGTCCAAATATGTAAACATATGATCATGATGAAAGAAACCTAAGATATGAATTTTAAATCAAGTGCATTGCATATCATTTTATAGGTGCAAGCCTATGATTAAGTTAAATGCACCTGTGAAGTCAGCTGTACTGGATTTCACATCTTTAAGAAAAATGAGATATTTTTATGCCCAGAGTTCTCACTAAGGATTTTTGAAGGCGAGTCCAGGGACTCGTCATTTTTGGCCATGGAGAGTCCAACAGTAAGAAGAAGATATTTTATTGCAATATGATTTATTATTTTAGTCTCCATGACCTACATGTAATAGAGCAATGAAATGACATTAAATTCAGATTTCTTTTAAACTTTTTCTATAATAAAATGATATGTGTGTTCAGTTTATACAAAATATTACAATCTTGATGCATCTTTGGACTCACCAGTTTTGAAAATGGTGAGTCCAGACAGATTTTCATGAGTCCAGGACTCATGGACTCGCCTCAGTGAGAACCCTGTTTATGCCACAGGCTAACCAAAATTTATAGTGATTGTATGCAGCTGACTTTTTATACGACCGCAAAAAAATTTTTGTGGTCGTATATTGGTATGACGTTGGTGTCGTCGTCCGAAGACCCATTAGTTTTCGCACTCTAACTTTAGTTTAAGTGAATGGATCTCTATGAAATTTTACCATAAGGTTCAATACCACAAAAGGAAGGTGGGGATTGATTTTGGGGGTTATGGTACCAACAGTTAAGGAATTAGGGGCCAACAATAAGCATTTTCTAGATTCCAGACATTAACTGTGGAACGGTGTATGGATCTCTCTGAAATTATACTACAAGTTTCCATACCACAAAGGGATGGTTAGGATTTGCTTTGGGGGGTTATTGCTCAAACCGTTTAAGAATTAGGGGCAAAAAAGGGGGAAAAACAAGGTTGTCCTCATTAATGGACAAATACTTTAGTACAAAACATAATTTAAAGCAGTGTAAGGGAGATAAATCAAATACATCATTGAAATTATCTCCCTTACACTGCTTTTAAATTATGTATAAAGTAATGGTTAATGAACAATTAAGATAATTTAAAACAGTGTAAGGGAGGTAATTCAAATACAACGTTTTGGTTACTTCCCTTACACTGCTTTTAAATTATGTTTAAAGAAATGCATATTTATAAAGGAAGACCAGTATGGCACATTAGATTTGTAAAATCTTTGACCACATTTATTTATTTGTTATGCCGAATCTAACCGTGTATTTAGATTTTTAATTTTGGGTCCAGTTTTCAAATTGGTCTACATTAAGGTCCAAAGGGTCCAAAATTAAACTTTGTTTGATTTTAACAAAAATTGAATATATGGGGTTCTTTGATATGCTGAATCTAAACATGTATTTAGATTTTTGATTTTTGGTCCAGTTTTCAAGTTGGTCCAAATTGGGGTCCAAAATTAAACTTTGTTTGATTTCAACAAAAATTGAATATATGGGGTTCTTTGATATGCTGCATCTAACCATGTATTTAGATTTTTTATTTGTGGACCCCGCTATCAAATTGGTTCATATTGAGGTCAAAAGGGTCCAAAATTAAACTTTGTTTGATTTCATCAAAAATTGAATTATTGGGGTTCTTTGATATGCCAAATCTAACCGTGTATTTAGATTTTTAATTTTGGGTCCCGTTTTTTAAATTGGTCTCCATTAAGGTCCAAAGGGTCCAAAATTAAACTTAGTTTGATTTTAACAAAAATTAAATTCTTGGGGTTCTTTGATATGCTGAATCTAAACATGTGTTTAGATTTTTGATTATGGGACCAGTTTTCAAGTTGGTCCAAGTTGGGGTCCAAAATTAAACTTTGTTTGATTTCAACAAAAATTGAATATATGGGGTTCTTTGATATGCTGAATCTAAACATGTATTTAGATTTTAGATTTTTGGCCCAGTTTTCAAGTTGGTCCAAATTGGGGTCCAAAATTAAACTTTGTTTGATTTCAACAATAATTGAATATATGGGGTTCATTGGTATGCTGAATCTTACCATGTATTTAGATTTTTTATTTGTGGGTCCGCTATCAAATTGGTTCATATTGAGGTCAAAAGGGTCCAAAATTAAACTTTGTTTGATTTCATCAAAAATTTAATTATTGGGGTTCTTTGATATGCCAAATCTAACCGTGTATTTAGATTTTTAATTTTGGGTCCCATTTTTATACGACCGCAAAAAAATTTTGTGGTCGTATGTTGGTATGACGTTGGCGTCGTCGTCGTCGTCGTCGTCGTCGTCCGGCGTCGTCGTCCGAATACACAATGGTTTTCGCACTCTAACTTTAGTTTAAGTGAATGGATCTCTATGAAATTTTACCATAAGGTTCAATACCACAATAGGAAGGTGGGGATTGATTTTGGGGGTTATGGTACCAACAGTTAAATAATTAGGGGCCAAAAAGGGGCCGAAAATAAGCATTTTTGTAACTTCCAGACATAACTTGTGTCTTATTGTATGGATCTCTTTGACATTGTACTACAAGATTCCATATCACAAAGGGTCGATGATGGGATTGATTTTGGGGTTAATTTCCTCGAAATTTTAGGAATAAGGGGCCAAAAGGGGGCAAAAAACAAGCATTTTTCTAGTTTCATGACAATAACTTGTGTGTAAGTGTATGGATCTTTCTGAAATTTTACTACAAGGTTCCATTTCGCAAAGGGAAAGCTGGAATTGAGTTTTGTGGTAATTGCCCAAAACGTTTAGTAATAAGGGGCCTAAAAAGGGGTGAAAAATAAGCATTTTTTAGTTTCTAGACAATAACTTGTGTTCAAGTGTATGGATCTCTCTAAAATTGTATTACAAGGTACCATACCACAAAGGCAAGGCTGTTATTGAGCTTGGTTTGGGGGGGGAAGGGGGGGGTGATGAATCATAGGGGGGGGGGGGTCAAAAAAGGGGTAATTATTTTTTTTCGTTTAAGGAATAAGGGGAAAAAAGGTTAAAAAACTAGGGTTTCCATTTTAATAGACAAATAATTGAGTAAAGAACATTATTTAAAAGCAGTGTAAGGTTGGTAATTCAAACTCATTTAAATATCTCACCTGCACTATGTTTGAATTATGTAAATTGGAAATTTGCCAATTATTTTAGTATAATAAACTTCATTGGAAATTTGCCAATATAAAATTTTGCTGATGAAGGTTTTTTGTTTACCTTTAGTCTGACTATGATGTCATTTTCTATTTTAATAGCCTTATGATGTAGTTAAATTTTTTTTAATACTTTTATGATGTATTTTAATGCGCTTTTATGGTTGCAAATTTATTGTTTTAATATAATAAACTCCATTGGAAATTTACCAATAGTTTGTTTATTTTTAGCTATGACTATGATGTCATTTTCTATTTAATTTTAAGGTTACAAATTAATTTCAGTTTTAAATATTATTGTAAAATGTTTGCCCAAAACATTTATTAATAAGTGGCCAAAAAAGGGGGCAAAAATAAGCATTTTTTTAGTTTCCAGACATTAACTTGTGTTCAAGTGTATGGATTTCTCTGAAATTGTACTTAAAGGTACCATACCACAAAGGGAAGTGGGTCAAAAAATTTTTTGGGGGGGGGGGGGGGGGGGGATTTTTTTTTCCTTTTTTTTTTTCTTTAAAATTTTCCATTTTAAGTTGGTTAATTCTGATCACAAAGAGAAAGTTGGAATTGAGTTTGGGGGATAATTGCTCAAATGTTTAGGAATAAGGGGCTAAAAAAGGGGTTAAAAATAAGCATTTTTTTTTTAGTTTCCAACAATTAATTGTGTTTAAGTAATTGGATCTCTGTGAAATTGTACTGCAAGGTACCATACCACAAACTGAAGGCTGGGATTGAGTTTGGGGGGGGCGTGATGTGTGAAAATTTTCCACTTAAAGTTGGTTAAATATTTCTGATTTAGATATAAAAGCAAATAATAATGATGTGGTTTGATTTTATCAAAAACTTAAATTGAAGTTATGTATATTGTAAATTTAGGTTACATTGGAATTTAAGAATTGGCTTTGGGGTAGGGTTATGGCTCAAACCTTTAAATAATAAGGGAAAAAAAGGTGAAAAAACAAGGGTTTCCAGGTTAATAGACAAATAAGTACAAAACATTATTTAAAAGCAGTGTAAGGTTGGTATTTCAAACTCATTTAAATATCTCACTTACACTGCTTTTAAATTATGTGAAATGGAAATTTGCCAATAACTTTATTGTTAATAAATGCATTGGAAATTTGCCAACAATTTTAGTATAATAAACTTCATTGGAAATTTGCCAATATAAAATTTTGCTGATGAAGGTTTTTTGTTTACCTTTAGCCTTGACTATGAAGTCATTTTCTATTTTTATAGCCTTATGATGTAGTTGAATTATTTAATACTTTTATGATGTGTTTAAATGGGGTTTTATGGTTGCAAATTTATTGTTTTAGTTTAATAAACTCCATTTAAAATTTGGTAATAAAAAAAATTTTTGTTTATTTTTAGCTATGATTATGATGTCATTTTCTATTTTACTTTTATGGTTGCAAAGAAATTTTTATTTTTAGATATTACTGTTAAATGATGCTGATTAAGGTTTTTGCTATGTTTAGCCATGACTATGATGTCATTTTCTATTTTAATATCTGTCATGATGTATTTAAATGGGCTTTTATGGTTACAAAGGAATTTTATTTTTAGATATTACTGTAAAATGTTGCTGATTAAGGATTTTGTTTATTTTTAGCCATGACTATGATGTCATTTTCTATTTTAATACCTTTATTATGTAATTTCCATTTTTAGATATTACTGTTAAATGATGCTGATTGAGGGTTTGAATGCTGGGATTGATTTTGGGGGTAATTGCCTCCAAATTTTAGGAATTAGGGGGCAAAAAACAAGCATTTTTCTAGTTTCATGACAATAACTTGTGTGTAAGTGTATGGATATTTATGAAATTGTACTACAAGGTTCCATATCACAAAGGGAAAGCTGGAATTGAGTTTGGGGGTACTTGCCCAAAACGTTTAGGAATAAGGGGCCAAAAATAAGCATTTTTCTAGTTTCCAGACAATAACTTGTGTTCAAGTGTATGGATCTCTCTGAAATTGTACTGCAAGGTACCATACCACAAAGGGAAGGCTGGGATTGTTTTTGGGGGTAATTGTCTCAAAATGTTAGGAATTAGGGGCCATAAAGGGGCAAAAAAACAAGCATTTTTCTAGTTTCATGACAATAACTTGTGTGTAAGTGTATGGATCTTTATGAAATTGTACTACAAGGTTCCATATCACAAAGGGAAAGCTTGGTTTGAGTTTGGGGGTAATTGCCCTAAACTTTTAGGAATTTGGGGCCAAAAAGGTGCAAAAAACCCAAGCATTTTTCTAGTTTCCAGACAATAATTTGTGTTCAAGTGTATGGATCTCTCTGAAATTGTACTGCAAGGTACCATACCACAAAGGGAAGGCTGGGATTGAGTTTGGGGGTGATGAATCATAAGGGGGTTTCAAAAAATTTGGGGGGGGATTTTTTTTTCCTTTTTTTTCTTTAAAATTTTCCATTTTAAATTGGTTATTTCTGATTTATATATAAAAGCAAATAATAATGATATGGTTTGAATAGGTAAATTAAAAAATTTAAAGTTCTTAGACTACTTTCATTCTGTGTCAGAAACCTATGCTGTGTCAAATATTTAATTACAATCCAAATTCAGTGCTGTATCAAGCTTGAATGTTGTGTCCATACTTGCCCCAACTGTTCAGGGTTCGACCTCTGCGGTCGTATCAAGCTGCGCCCCAGCGGAGCATTTTATTTGAATTGGTCTACATTAAGGTCCAAAGGGTCCAAAATTAAACTTAGTTTGATTTTAACAAAAATAAAATTTTTAGGGTCCTTATATATGCTGAATCTAAACATGTGTTTAGATTTTTGATTATGGGACCAGTTTTCAAGTTGGTCTAAGTTGGGGTCCAAAATTAAACTTTGTTTGATTTCAACAAAAATTGAATATATGGGGTTCTTTGATATGCTGAATCTAAACATGTATTTAGCTTTTAGATTTTTGGCCCAGTTTTCAAGTTGGTCCAAATTGGGGTCCAAAATTAAACTTTGTTTGATTTCAACAAAAATTGAATATATGGGGTTCTTTGATATGCTGAATCTTACCATGTATTTAGATTTATTATTTGTGGGCCCGCTATCAAATTGGTTCATATTGAGGTCAAAAGGGTCCAAAATTAAACTTTGTTTGATTTCATCAAAAATTGAATTATTGGGGTTCTTTGATATGCCAAATCTAACCGTGTTTTTAGATTTTTAATTTTGGGTCCCGTTTTTTTTTAATTGGTCTACATTAAGGTCCAAAGGGTCCAAAATTAAACTTAGTTTGATTTTAACAAAAATTGAATTCTTGGGGTACTTTGATATGCTGAATCTAAAGATGTGTTTAGATTTTTGATTATGGGACCAGTTTTCAAGTTTGTCCAAGTTGGGGTCCAAAATCAAACTTTGTTTGATTTCAAAAAAAATTGAATATATGGGGTTCTTTGATATGCTGAATCTAACCATGTATTTTGATTTTTGACATTGGACCATAATAGGTAAATTAAAAAAAATTGAAGTTCTTAGACCACATTCTTTCTGTGTCAGAAACCTATGCTGTGTCAAATATTTAATCACAATCCAAATTCAGAGCTGTATCAAGCTTGAATGTTGTGTCCATACTTGCCCCAACTGTTCAGGGTTTGACCTCTGCGGTCGTATCAAGCTGCGCCCAGCGAAGCATTTTATTAGAGTTGAGATAATTGTAAATTATTTATATTAATTTGAATTGATGAATATACATGATATAGTGGCAATCTTTCTTTCTTTGGAGCACTTGTCAATGTAATGTGTTGGTTGTTGCAAAATGTAAAATTATAAAATCCTCCAGCGGTTATGCTAGTGAATCAGTGTAAGATACTTGCACGTCCAACAGGTGCCAATGTCTAAAATCGCAATTACCCAATTCAGTAACCAAATAAGAATTCTTCACTAGGATGGAGTTGTGACTATTTAACATGTTTAACACTCATGGCATTTGAAAAAGTTTGAAATTCACCATAAAGGAAATTAATCCAGAAGAAACAAAATATTCAGGGAAATTTGTACAACCAGAAATAAATTACTGCAAAAATTATGCAACATAACTTATAGTAGCAGAAATAGCTATATGAATAAAAGGAGATAAGGGTATGCGTCAATGAGGCAGCAGCAGAGTGACACAAAAATCAAAAACAAGAAATTCACAAACTTCAACTGTGGAAGCTCCTTTTATTATCCGTCAATATTTTTTTTTTTTTATAGTAAAGCAGTTTCTTAATCACTCAAGGTATAGGAAGTAATTATAAACTAAGTTTATACTTCGATGTCAACAATGTTTTAAGGAAGGTTTCACACTCTTCTTCAAAATTCCTGGGAATGATACTTTGTGAGCTGTTTTCTTGTCTTTGGTTTTGTCCATTATATGGTCTATTTCTCCAGTCTTGTTTCATTTTAAAATTTTAGGTTAAGATAGTTAACCATGACATTGTGGTCACATGAACTTGAAATTTAGTGGACATGATTATTATAATGTGCAATTTTTATATGTAATGCAATAGACCGTTATGATCCTAATTTCACAATTCACATGGCAATATGATAGTGTGAAACCAGTACCTTCTCTTTTAAAGTGTTTGTAAAGGTTGTTTACCATGCAGTTGTGGTCAACTTAACACTTTATACACATGTTCACTATTGGTTGGAATTTTATATTTGCCAAATTATAGTTTTCAACCTAATTTAACATGAACATGAAAATGTGTTAATGCAAGAGGCATTGATGTCTTATGGACAACACATTCTTATTTTAACTCACCTGGCCTAAAAGGCCATATAAGCTTTTGCAATCACTTGGGTGTCTGTCATAATTTTTAAAGGCAGTGCTTTAATGCCTTTCTAGTTGCCGTGTTAATCTTTCTTTCCGCGATATCCAACTTATCTGCGTGGGGGGTCATTAGGCTCCAAGTAGATCCGGAAAATGTTGATTCTCTCCTCTTCTTATTGTGATATAAAATGTTTTTTGTTTCATTTCTTTTACATTGGGAAATAGAGAAACGATCATTGTGTTTTGTTAGTTTTAAAAACTTTTGATATATTTGTATTTCACATTATAAGCAGTCAACCGATTGACAAACTAGAATTATTTGAATTCCGTGTGGAAAGAGGTCGGGTTAATTTCGAGTGTTATCTGCAATCTAGATGTTTATAAATCATTTCAGTCGTTGATATAATAATTAAAGGTTGACAGAACATGAATTATATTATACAATTTAAAGTGCATTTCTGTTTATGCACGCGAACCCGTCTAACGTTATTGTTATTTCGCAGTTATAAAGTAGCAAATTATCGTTCCTGAATAGGTGGCGTCGTGGTAGCCGATCCTGTTCTTCAACTTCCGGTTTCTGCACTGTGCAACTATTACAGTTGCATTTTTAATTAACGATGCCAAGTACTTGTTGTTGTGTACCTGGATGTCATTTAAGAGGAGGACATGCATTTTCAAATGACTTAAAAAGAAGGAAAAGTTGGATCAACGCCATGGCCCAGACGAGAAAACGATGAAATCGTGGAGTCCATCTCAATCAGCTGTTGTTTCCAAGGCACATTTTACTGAAAAAGAGTCTTTAAGACTACGTGCAGGAAACTATTCATGGTAAAACTCTATTTTCTTTTTAAAATATATAGTTATATATGTAATCGCTATGCGAAATAACCAAAGTCTGTTTACAACCGCAATTATCGTTTTGGAATAAAAGGGGGTGGTTAATTCGAATTCTAGACAGTTCGGCACCCAGACAAATCGGCACCCGGACCAATCGGCACCAGAGAAAGACACTTCGGCACCCAGACAAATCGGCACCTAACATAGACAAATCGGCATCTAATAAAGATAAAATCAATTATCAGAGACATATATACACATGTGTATATATGTCTCTGCAATTATTAAGTCCTTGATCAAAATATAATGAACCAAAAATAAAAATAATGAAGTATCTTATGAAGTGGTTTATTCTTTTGGTTGTTTATTTGTGAAGACTGTATTGCAGCTTAGTCATTTGGGTAGCTGTCTTATTTGAGTTTTCTTTTTCCATATGCATGAAAATTGATTTCATAGATTTCACCATTCATGTACTAGTTTTAATGTAATGCATAGTTCTATTCAGATAGTATTCTAAATCAATAAAACACATGTAGCATATTTATAATATTTATTTTATTTATTATAATTATATTCATAACAGTTTATAGATACGTTAACAGCACTAGATTTGCATCAAAGGTGAACACATGATAGTAATGAAACATTTTAAATACTATAAATATAACATATAACATATATACAGGCAGCACTATAAGTTCTAACAAAGTCACTTTGGTGGTGGTCCGTACACACTGGCACATTCCTTAAGCAGTCTGGAGGTGGAGATGCTGTTGCTTCAATACTGGTCCCACAGTCTATACACTTTTGATCTCCATTGAGAAATTATCAAATTTCATTATAAACTTACATAAAATACTGATTAATGCATAACTACAATTAATTATGATTTAATTATATGATGTTTATTCAAAGACCGTCATATTTAATAATCATTTAGGATTTAATTAAAATTTAATGATGTTTATTCAAACACCATCGTTTAGGATTTAATTAAAAAAAGACGATTATTTTTTCAAATTTTGTAATGCATATTTTATTTACGGATTTTAATATTTCTGTAACAATTCTTTTATTTTTCTTAATATAAATATATATATAAAGAAAAAACAAATGAGGTGCCGAATTGTCTTGGTCCCGATATGTCCTCAGGGGTCCCGAAATGTCCAAAACGGATGCCGAAATGTCTTCGGACTTGGGTGCCGATTTGTCTGGGTGCCGAAATGTCTTGTTACCGGTTAATTCAAGACTTCATAATTTTTTGGATTACATTCAATGTGATCTGTTTGAGATTTTTTGGTGCTTGCTACAATTATAATGATTTCTTACAAGAGGTATATCATACTGAGAATTATTTTAGCAGTAATTATGCTAATGTAGTAATGACAGGAATGCATAAGCTATGCCTCATAGACTTTCTTGAAAAATGTCAATGACAATGTTAACAGGAACAAAACAATGACATGCTCTCATCTATATTATAGTTATTTAGGTACAAACAATGTATGTTTGTTGCATACGTCTCTCATTGTTTGTCCTTTGGATTTACATAACATACATTTTGATGTACATTGAATCAGGCTAACATATTTTTATCCAGATTGTAATGAATAAATCTAGTTAACATTTTGCCAGGTAGTATAAAGTATGCATTGCTAATGAAAGTTCATTTAATTATCAAAAAACTAATGTTTTATAACCTTTTTCAGGGTGCAAACCCACCATACAGAGACTTAAGTCTACTGCCATTCCCAGCCTATTTTCCTGGACCAAGCAAGAGACTGAATCGTCCGCAAAAAGAAAAATCAGGGCAGTTTCCTGTGAAAACAAAAGAACTAAACTTGATGAATATTGTAGTAGAAATCTAGAGGAAAGTTTTGATTGTAAAGTTGGTTTTCCTGAAGAAGTCATTCATACTGCAGACATGATTTATGACTGTCCACCACCAACTGCCGAGCTAATGTTGAGCTTCACAGATGGAATTACGCAAACACCATCAATGCCTATATTTTCAGCAGAGAATTTTGAAATGAAGACACGTGACATAGCCATGCATTTATATACCGGTTTAGAGTTGTAACTTGTATACTAAATTTTTATTTGTTTTGACCACACTTGGTCCAGCAGCACATTGTTTGAAATACATATATTTTCAAATTGATAGGGTGTCATTTGAAAATCAGTTTTTTTATGACTTTGATGAAATTGAGGCATTATACAACCAACTTTGAACTGTCTAGATTCTAGATTGAAACTAGTGTTAAGAATATTGTGTAAACATGGATTGTTTTTATGTCTAAACAGTGGCGTGAGGCTAACACTTGGCCATTTAGTGGTTTAGTCAGGTATTTTTCGCCATCCAACTTCAAATTAAAGTTTCCTACAACTTGGATTATTATTGACAGCACAGAATATCCCGTGATAAAACCTAAAGCTCCTAGAGCTCAGGCAACCTTTTCATCATATAAAAACAGAAACACTGAAAATACTTGTATGTTCGACTCCTGGTGGTTTAGTCAACTATGTCTCTAATGCATATGTTGGTTGTACCAGTGACTGTGAAATAGTTGAAAGATGTAGAATAGTTCAATTATGTGATCCAGGTGACAGTGTGATGGCAGACAAAGGTTTAAATGTGCATGATTTGTTTGCTCACTTTTTTCAAAAAAAGAAACAGAATTAGTTCCAAAACTCTTATACGGGATAGAAAAGTCTCCAATTAACACGTGCACATAGAGCTAATTATTGGACTTGGCAAAACATACAAAATTCTAATAAATCCTATGAATGGAACTGAAACAAAACTTTCATCTGAAATAACATTTAGTTGTTTTATGTTGTGTAATTTTAGAACTTGTATTGTGCCAAAGGATGCATAAATAAAAGTGACGCAATGAAGTTTGTTCTGATATATATATATAAATATTATTTACAATTACATGCACATGTAAATTGTAATGCATATAAAAATAAGGAGATGTGGTATGATATTCAGTGAGTTTATCGAACCAAAGTGCATAAGAAATGGGTAAAGCAGTTACAGGTGTTACTGTCACCGTGCAATCTCCAACAATTAGAAAAACTTGTACCGTGTAAAAAATTTCAGAGATCTTACAACTAAGTTTTGTTGTCTCACCTTGACTTTGGTGAATTGTTTATATCTGTTGATGTAAAGATAAAAAAGCAGATATGGTATGATTGCCAATGAGACAACTCTCCACAAGAGACCAAATGACACAGAAATTAACAGCTATATGTCACAGTACGGCCTTCAACAATGAGCAAAGCACATACCGCACAGTGAGCTATAAAAGGCACTGAAATGACAATGTAAAACAATTCAAACAAGAAAACTAACGGCCTAATTTATGTACAAACGACAACCACTGAATTACAGGCTCCTGACTTGGGACAGGCACATACATGTACATACAGAATGTGACGGGGTTAAACATGTAATCGGGATCCCAACCCACCCCCTAACCTGGGACAGTGGTGTAACAGTACAATATAAGAATGAACTATAAAAATCAGTTGAAAGAGGCTTAACTCATCAGATGGATAAATACAAATACAAGTGGACGAGGCCGGGTAGTTGTACATCCAAACAACAAAAAGACACTAAGTACAGATCTGAGAGTACTCGCATTTACTGACAGCTAGTTCAAAGCCACTTACAACTGATAAAAAAATCTTGCATCTAAGACTAAATTATCAATCCGTAAGCTCCCTTTAGAATTTTATAAATTTTAGATTTTACATTTCTGAGTTATGGGGTTTTATTCATTAAAAAAGCGGGGATTTTCCAGTTTTTGGACAACAACTCAAAAATACTTTAAGCAGTTCGCATGAAACTTTGGTGAATTATTTATAGCTATTGATGTAATCTCCCTATTGATTTTCATAAATTTCAAATATGACATTGAGAAGAAATTGAACTTTATTTGTTTATAGTCTGGCAACAGATTTATTAAGTATTGCACAACAGCACAGTGTATTGCACAACATGTACAGTAAGAAATCTTTAATTGAATATAAATTCAATTCATATAATCGATTTCAAGTTCTGTGACTACATTTATTCAGAAACTATAATATGTCAAATATTTAATTACAATCCAAATTCAGACCTGTATCAAGCTTGAATATTGTGTCCATTTTTGCCCCAACTGTTCAGGGTTGAACCTCTGTGGGTGTATCCAGCTGCGCTCAGCAAATCAGTTTATTTCTTAATTAAGAACTCCTTTTTGTCGAGCCTGCGACTTTTGTCGCAGAAAGCTCGACATAGGGATAGTGATCCGGTGGCTGCGTTGGCTAACTTCTTAAAAGCTTTATATTTTAGAAGGTGGAAGGTCTGGATGCTTCATACTTTGTATATGGATGCATCATGTTACGAAGTTTCCGTCAGTCACATGTCCAATGTCCTTGACCTCATTTTCATGGTTCAGTGACTACTTGAAAAAAAAGTTAATATTTTTTGTAATGTTAAATTCTCTCTTATTATAAGTAATAGGATAACTATATTTGGTATGTGCGTATCTTGCAAGGTCCTCATGCCCGTCAGACAGTTTTCACTTGACCTCGACCTCATTTCATGGATCAGTGAACAAAGTTAAGTTTTGGTGGTCAAGTCCATATCTCAGATACTATTAGCAATAGGTCTAGTATATTCGGTGTATGGAAGGACTGTAAGGTGTACATGTCCAACTGGCAGGTGTCATCTGACCTTGACCTCATTTTCATGGTTCAGTGGTTATAGTTAAGTTTTTGTGTTTTGGTCTGTTTTTCTTATACTGTATGCAATAGGTCTACTATATTTGGTGTATGGAATGATTGTAAGGTGTACATGTCTAGCTGGCAGGTGTCATCTGACCTTGACCTCATTTTCATGGTTCAGTGGTCAAAGTTAAGTTTTTGAGTTTTGGTCTTTTTTTCTAATACTATATGCAATAGTTCAACTGTATTTGGTATATGGAAATATTTTATGATCTATTTGTCAGTCACACAGGTTTTTTTTTTTACCTTGACCTCATTTTCAAGGTCAGTTGCTCAGTTTTAAGTTTTTGTGTTTTGGTCTGTTTTTCTTAAACTATAAGCAATAGGTCAACTATATTTGTTGTATGGAAGAATTGTTAGCTGTACATGCCTGCCTAGCATGGTTCATCTGACCTTGACCTCGTTTTCTTGGTTCATTGGTCAATGCTTAGTTTACTTGGTTAATGTTAAGTTTATGTGACAGTTGTAATAAAGCTTTATATTTAGGACTATCAACATAATATCAATGATTAGTAAAGAAGGCGAGACATATCAGCATGTGCACTCTTGTTTCATTCATAAATTACTTTATACTTGGAAATATAATTTTGCTTGGAGTTATAGTTTCTAAAAAAGTATTGTCATTGAAAGAGTTGACATGTTGCAATGTACATTTATTCTACATAGTTCTATGGTACCAAATCAAAAGTTTATATAAAAGAAAGAAGTCAAAGGTTTCCCATCATAGTTTAGTTACATACATTTTTTTTGTACCTGAGGTCATTGAATATAGATCATTATATAAATAAGGAGATGTGTTATGATTTCCAATGAAACAACTATCATCCATACATTGTACTTACCAGTCACAAACCACATTTGCAAAGTTGAATAAAATACAGTTGATAACATTTACTTATTACTAAAAAGAAAATGCCAAACTATTTTAAACAGTATTTGACTATAAACATAGATAAAAAAGGTACAAACTGGACATAATGCACTAGTTCATTAACAAGTGAGAACAATCGCCTTCATATAGTGCTCAGAATATGACATTCATAAAACTTGTTCAATATCACTAGAGAACTCTAAATCTTAAATACTGAAAGCCACCTCTGATAAGTACAATGTACTATGCAAGATAATGATATAACTGGACTAAAAATACACACAACCTGTAATTAACTGCCTTTACAGCGCTTTCGCGCTTTGATTCTGTCTGGTTATCAGTCAGTTTAAACTTTTAGAAAAATCTTCTGTTTAGAAAGTACTTGGCCAAACCAAACCTATACCTGAATGTTCCTTAAGATATATAATAAAAAAAATTGTATCAAAACCCCCAACACAATGTTTGAAATAGATATCATATGTATAGGAGTTATTGACCTTAAAAGATAGATTTTATGCCTTTTTTTCAGAAACCATAATAGAAAGAGTACTGTCACAACTGTAAATAGCAAAAATATTAAGCAAAAAAGGATCTACAAATAAGTCAACATGGCCTTAATCGTAAATTGATCCTGAACAGGAGTTATTGCTCTTGAAAGATGGTTTTTACCCATTTTATTTTATGCATTTTTTGTAGAAATCATAATAGAAAGGAAAAAAATTGGTTGTATCAATGATCTTCAACACAATTAGATCTACAAATAAGTCAACATAACCAAAATTGTCGACTGACTCCTGAAATCAGTTAGGGAGCAACCATTTAACTTCAATTTGGTTTTTTGTTTGAGTCAGAAATTTTTTTTTCGCGCACAGCAAAATAAATTTTATTTATTTTTTTCAACGCTATCAATCAAATTATTTTTTTCAATATTTAACACTATAAGGTATCGGCAAAATCTGGATTCAGAATATTATTTTTTGTCATCTGCTTGACCAGAATATTTTTTTTCATCAAATTGGGAATCAGAATATTTAAAAAAAAAAAATAAAAACCATAACCCCCCCTTGAAGTTAAATGGTCGTTCCCTTATTATCCCTGAATAACCATTTTTATTATATGACTGCAAAAAAAATTTTGTGTCATGGCGTCGTCATCGTCATCACCTGAAGACACATTTGGTTTCCAGAAAATAACTTAAGTTTAGTGAATGGATCTCTATGAAATTATCCAGAAGGTTCAATACCACAAAAGGAAGGATGGGATTGATTTTTGTGGTTATGGTACCAACAGTTAGGAATTAGGGGCCAAAAACAAGGATCTTTCTAGTCTCCAGACAATAATTTGTTTTTAAGTGTATGGATCTCTTTGTAGTTGTACTACAAGGTTCCATACCATAAAGGGAAGGCGGGTAATTGCCCCGAACGTTTAGAAATTAGGGGCAAAAAAGGTGTCAAAAACAAGCATTTTTCTAGTTTCCAGACAATAACTTGTGTTAAAGTTTATGGAACTCTCTGAAATTGTACATTTTTCCTGAAAAGAAAATAATCTTCAAAATTTTTAAAAAAAATTTGGGGGGGGGGGGGGGGGGGGGGTTCAAATTTTTTTAGGGTTCATAAATTTTTCTTCAAAAATTTTTCAAAATTTCAAATTTTTTCAAATTTGCTGGGGGGATTTTTTTTTTCCATAATTTTTTGGTTTTATTTCCCAAAAATTTCAAATTTTTACATTGAGTATTTCCGATTTATTTATAAAAGCAACGAATACTGATATGGCAGGAGATACACACCAATCAGGTTGTGTAAGTTGTTATATATAACAGATTAACTAAGTATTGCACAATAGCACAGTATTTATTGCGCAATAGCAAGAAATCTTCAATTGAAAAGAAATACAAATCTTTTAACCAATTTCAATGGGATTAATTTAAAGCCTTTAATTTTTGGGGGTTCTAACCTTGTATTACTATTTTGGATATTGGGTCCCATCTTTAAATTGGTCTACATTGAGGTCCAAAGGGTCCAAAATTAAAATTTGTTTGATTTCATCAAAAACTGAATTATTGTGGCTCTATGATATGCTGAATCTTATAATGCATTTAAACTTTTTATTTTGGGCCCTGTTTTCAAATTAGTCCATATTAAGGTTTGAAGGGTCCTAAATTAAACTTTGTTTGATTTCAACTAAAATTAATTTTTTGATGTGTTTTAATGTGCTGAATCTAACCATGTTGTTATATTTTGGATATCAGACC